TGAAACCTCCCACAGGTCTGGCCAGTGCGGTCACCTGTGCGGATGACGTACGGGCAGGCACCCCCACCCCCAGACCCCCCACGCTGAGCGTACCATTCACGGAGCTGCTGGGGCGAGGGAGTCTCACCGGGACGCTGCTGCTGCTGCCTCTAGCCACCGCCGAACCCCCCACGCTGTACCGCTCCACCGCGCCCGCCACCCGCTCCACCGCCGCCACCACTGCCACCACCGCCCCCACCACCTCCACCACCGCCACCGCCACCACCCCCTAAGCCGCCACCGACCCCCCCACCACCCGCGCCACTCCCACCTCCGCCACCACCCCCGCCCACCCCACCCCCTCCACCGCCGACGCCCCCACCTCCACCTCCACCACCCTTGCCCCCCTTGCCCCTGCCGCCCTTGCGCCTCCCACTAGGAGAAGACGCAGCCCCGACCCCCTCAGCTCCGAGGTAGTCGACAGCAGCAGCAGATGCAATGGAGGGGAGGAGGGGGGAGGGGGAGCACCCCTCAAAGAAGGGGGTGCGTGGGTCACCACGAGAGGCACCTACAGCTACAATGTTCTTCTCAGCTGCTAGGAGTTCCTTCTCGAGGAGGTCGACAGTGAGGTCAGTGGGGGAGAGGGCGAGAAACTGGTCCTTGACAGTGCGAAGGGAGTCAAGGAGGCGGGTGACAAGGTGGTACAGTGTGAGGTACATCGGGGGGGGGTTCTTGGCGAGGAAATCGGGGGGGAGTGCGGCACGGTAGCGGAGGTCACTGGTACGGAGGTGGGTGATGAGATCAGCTACAGTGGCAAAGGCGGACATGTCGGGGAAGAGGTAGGGCAGTGAGAGACGGCCTATAGCAGCAGTGGCAGGGGAGGAGTAGCGCGCGACTACTGCGTCGTATAGCTCCTTAGCGGTCTTATGCTGTCCGAAGTGCTCGCGCTCATCTAACGGCAGGTGGCTGCGAACGGCTAGGCGAGCGTGGGCATCACGGGTCTGCCACTGGGAGCGAGCATTACTGTCAGCAGTAGCGGGAGGTGCGGGAGCAGCGCCTGACGTGTGGTCATACAGGGAGACATCGTCCTTGGCAGTGATCTGGAGGAACAGGTGGAGGTCATCTAACCAAACCTCAAACTTAATCGGGCGGCCCACAGCGTCAAAGGTGAGAATAGAGGGAGTGGCCATAGTGGCAGTAGGAACAGTAGCAGTAGTAGCAGGAGTAGTATCAGTTGCAGTTGAAGCAGTAGTACGGTAGGAACAGGAACAGGAGTCACTGCAGGTGGGGCACAGTAGGGTTGCGCGGCTCGGTTCGGGCTGGGCTACGCGGCGGTGCGCGACTGGGGGCGTGCGCGTGGGCGGCTGTAGCGGGCGGGCCGTGGCTGCGCGTGGGCCTGACTAGCGCGCGGGCGGCGGCCTAGAGAGGGCGTCGCGGCGGCCTACGGGCGTGGCTGCGACGCTCTAGGCGGCGGTCGACGGGCGGCTAGGGGCTGCTCGTGGGCGGCGCCGGTCGCACGGGCGGCTAGGGGTCGGGGCGCGCTCAGAAAAGGGGCCGCGCGCGGGCGGCTAGCGGGCTACGCGGGCAAAAAACGGGCCGCGCGAGCGACTAGCGGGCGACGCGGCCGAAAAAAAATGGGGCGCTCGAGGGCGCACTAGGCGTGAGGCGCACGAGGGCGCGATTAGGAGAAGGCGCACGAGGGCGCAACTAGCGGAACGATGGGCCCTTAGGTAAGTGGTCCTAGGGCTAGGACCTACACTCTTAATACCATGTCAGAATGAACAAGTGATTGAACTATGAACATTGGGTGATACAAGTAGCAAACCCTAGAATGATATACCCCGTAAAGGCTAACCCGCTATAGCCTACACAACAATAACATATATAATGTTTGACAGCACTAAGGTGTCAAACGAGTACAAAATGTGAGCGAAGGCATGAGCGAACATTTATACGCGAAACATGCAAACGGTAACGCGGTGCGTGCGAGCTAGCTAGTGCTATGCTGGCAGTGAGGTTCGGGCTATTCCCGAAGCGTAGGCCGACACGACCGGGCCAGTAGTGCGAGGTTTGGTGAAACAGTGCGCGCGAAGTCGGCGAAGCCCCGTTAGCAGTAACGGGCGAACAACGGCTGCTGCTGTACGCGATGTTGCAGGGCGCGGTAAGGAATGTCGAGAAAATTCATTAGAGAAGGATGCATTTTGGCACATGCTTATTTGAGACCTGACAATAAATTATGCGCCAATGTAATAAATTATTCAACGTTATATTTAAGCAACTTTTTTTTAATCTAAAATCCTCTGAAAATTAAAAAACATTGAAGTTTGATTTTATGATGAATAGATACTGGAAACAAGGCTGAAGAATGACCACAAGCTTACAAATACATGTTAAACTAAATGATTTTACTGCCTATCTAAACTTGAATTTTGCTAAAAGGGGGTGTTTCACAATTATTGTAGCCTCTCGCTTTGGTGGGGGGTGGCTGGCGACAATAATTGCGGCGCGAGAGCAGGAAGCAAGTGGACAGGGAGGAAAGCAAGGAGGCGTGAGATGCGCGAGGGGTGGAGGTGCATTGAACGACGTACCCATATGCGCGCTCACCCAAGAGACGGGCTTCTTGAGTAAGGATAAAAGGGTGCGCGGCTGGCAGCAGAAGTAAGCACAGCACACAGCGTAATCACTTGGACTTCCACATCTTCCTCCACTTCACTTGACTTAGTAATACAGGATACTAGCATCAGATCGAGATTTCTCGCGGTATTGTTGATCTTCCTTATCCGATAGCGGAAAGAGCGTTTTCGCGAGTCTGGTTTGCTTGTTACTAGCGACTGAGTTCATTTTTGTCCCCGCTGACTTGTTTCAACCAAATCCCGTGTGCGTTCTGAATCGAGGCGCGCTCTCTACGCACGTTCATTCGCGCCGTCGCTCGGTCTCCCGCGCGAATACCCTTTCTGGCATCATGGTGAAAGCGACCCAAGAGTTTGCATTGGCGGTGGTCTTCATCGTCGCGTTCTTGGCAGGTGCGTGTCTCGGTCCATGAACTTTGACCCGCCTCAAAGGGTGTCATGGCCAAGGATTCTCATTACGACGGAAAGTATGAACAATACATCTATCCCTTTGATTCACGGGAACGTAGAGCATACGCAATCAGTGTACTGCTACCACTCATACATTCATGACACGTAACCAATAAAATGTCTCATAAACGGCACGTTTTTCTCGGATCGCAGGCCCGGTTCTCGGAGCGGCGACGGTGCCGAACGGCAAGCCGTGCTACCTGACGTCAGCATACAAGCCTGTCAAGCCGTGCGCTGGAGGCGTTGCCACGTGAGTAGCAGCACTTTTCTCCTTGGGATTGTCGCGAGCGGGGATCCCATGGAGCGCGAGAGAACGTTCAATTGTGTAACGGGCACTTGCAAACACCGCGTGAAAATCCGAATCTGTGTTCAACTCAATGCTCTTAACTCTTTTGCTGCCGTCACCTGTGTCCAATCTTGCATCCACGTCCCACCTCCCTATAACAGATGCGTTGTGAACAAGATCCCTGCGCGCGGCGCCAGCGATACTCGCATCTCAGGAATCTGCAACAGCACCTACTTCAGTAAGCTCGCGTGATTGTAGCTCATGCACTTGGAAGGTCGCGTAGTTTCGAAACAAACGGCTTATTCAGTGAAGCATCCGCAGGCGTTTGCTCCTGTATCATCAGATGTCTTCCTTCTCTCCATTCTCCACTCACAAAAGTTGGTCGGGTAGCATCAGTGAAAAATTACAGCCTGTGCCCTACTAAGGCATTGCACCCAAAATGCTCATCCCGCCCTTCCAGATGGTCCCTACTGCGCGTTCGCGTCGCAACCTTACGCCGTGGGCACGAGCAACATCCCCGGGAACCCCAATTGCCCTCGCTGCACCTGCACGCTGCAGCGAGGCGGCAGCGCGACGACTACCAATGCCGCATTCATTCGCGCGGCTTCGTCGCCGAAGCGTAAGGCTTCGACGGCGACCGCCACCTGCGTGTGCGACAGCGGTGCCACCACCAGCGGCATCGGCGGTGGCGGAACCCCCTGCAAGATTGGCCTGAATGGGCTGCTTGCTGCAGGCTCGACTTGCCCGATGACCCAGTCCTCGTGAGTCCCTTCCCTATCTTCCCCGGCGTTTCAACCTCACCCGTTTCCGGTTTTTCCCATCTGCCCGTTCGCACTGGCATAATCCTCCCTTTCCCGGCCAAGCCTTCCGGCCCCTTCACTCAACCGCTTCTTGCTTCGCGGGACTTTGTACAGCGTCTCATTTTGTTGCGAATCCCTTGCTGTGTTGGCTGCAGGTGCTTCATTAACAAGGTGGGAGCCAACGGGGCGGACTCTGGAGTGTGCACTGCGCCTCAGACAAGTAAGTTAAGACGCAACGAATCCTGTTCCTGCAGTTTCCAACTCTACCTGCCACCAACGATTATATTCTCCACATCTCTCACCTTCTCCAACCTCTTCCCCTGCCTGGCAATCCCATCAGTTTCCCCCATGGCGTGCAATTCGGCGGGAGAGACGTGGGGCATGCGCTACTACGCGGTGGGCACCACCGACATTCCCGAGCCGGGCAACTGGTGCTCGCGCTGCCGTTGCGGTCCCTCCGGTCTCACGGACTGCAAGCCCAAGTCGCCGTGCACACCCCCCAAGTAATAGTGCTATTCAGGAGCAAGGTGCGCGGAATGGAAGTACGGAACAGCGACGCCTCGGAAGCGGACTGACAGTCGTGCGCGCTTCCAGTTTCTGAACTGGAAGAAACATTGGCGCGCCCACAATATCGTTTCCATTGTTTAAGACTCTGTAGCTTCAATACGGAGCGACCAATAAGCGCATCCACGGATGCGAACATCCACGGATGCGAACATTGTGAAAACCCTTTTTAATATTCCAGATTCATACTATATACAGATTCCCAAACAAGCAGGAACAACCCAAACCCCCGGAAAATCTGAACACTGAATCCTATGGCATACTGATGATCCACGAAGCGTGCGGGGCCTACTAGCCTCGGTCACTAGGCAGTCTCTCGGTGTCCTCGGGTATCCCAGTGGGCACATCGCCTGGCTGCGGAACGTTCTGTGCCATGTCCTCGGTCCATTCCCCGGCCGCCTCTTGCTCCAAGGACTCTTCCTCTGTTATCCGCCGTGTGCACGCGTCAGCGCCACAAAAAGAAAGGGAGCAGTGGCATAAAACATAATAATTAATCGCCGTCACTGTCTATATGATAAGTAAGCACACGGAGATGCATTTGCCAAAAGAAATCTAACATCGCATCCAAGAAAGAATATCTGTCCATGAAGAAGAATACCTTCAATTTCTTTCTCCGTCAGCTCAGGAGCGTCCTCCCCCGGTGCGTCCTCTCCTCCCTTCCCTTCCTCGGGGCCCGGTGCGTCCACAATCGGAGTCTCGGGGTCCTCTTTTGCCGTCTTCGGATACTCGTATTCAGGCCCGGTACCAATCCCCGTTTCCTCCTGATACGCGAACAGTGCTTCCTGGAGCGCATGCACCGCCAAGGTACATCAAGAAGGTAAGAACAGAACGCATGAGAATGAGAGTCCGCGAAATTTGGTGAAAGATGCGAATCGTAAATATTCTTGTAAAGAATTGCACTAGAATCCTTAGTTTCAGAAAGCTGCGATAACGTGTCTTGCCTCTTCTTTCGAAGGCTTGGACTGGGCCATAGGTTTACTTCGGACGATGAGAAAGCGGAGCACGATGACAAAAAAGGGCTATCCAATTGCTAAGGGGCCACTAAGATCAGAAATCACAGTGAAGCGCAGGACTGCACTGGAGACAACGTAAAAGCACTTGGAGATGAAAACCTGTCTTGGCTTGCTGTTTGACTGGGGTGGGGAGGGGAAGAGGGAGTGCCAACCTGAATGGACAGTCGAGCCGCATGCTCAAACAGGAATTTCCGAATGTGGAAATGCGCGGACGGAACATCATGGTGCAGGGAAGCATTCGCTTGCCACGTGTCTGTTGCTGCCTTGTCACTGAAGTCCGTCAGGTGGAACATGTAAAACTACACACACACGAGGTGTACTTTGTGTTCCACAGCAAAATGAGATCGCGGTTCTGAAGTTCGCCCGCCATCCGAAGTAGGGACAAGTGTAGACGGAAGTACACGTCTGATTGGCTTCCATGCTCCAATATATCTGGAAACTTGTGTGATGACCAATGATAGAGTGTTTTTACACGTCATTGAGGGCCATTTTGAGCTGATGGCGGGCAAACTTCACCCAGAACCGTGACCTGAGTGCAGTGTTGTGATGCAGCCAGCTACCCACGTCAGCTTGGACCCACGTAGCGATAAAGATGAACTGTAACGTGGGCTTCGCAAAAGTCGCAGCGCATCCAGCTACTCTCCATGCGCGGCTCCACATTGCCACATTCATCAAATTTGAAGTTGGAGAAATCTAGGTGACTTCCCTTTCCCTCCACCACTTCATGACACAGCAGAACATACGCAGGGACAGCTCCCTGATTGTATGAGTCTGCTGCTGTTCCAGCAGAGAGTACATGACCCTCCCTCTGAGGTTGTCTGACGTCGCGGCGACGACTCCGGCGCTACTTTGCCGCACCTCGTCTATGGCTAGTTTTCCCAAAGTCTCCGTGTTCGTTCAGCTCTGCATCAGCAAACGTGTTTCTTCAGATCAGTTCCTGATTCTTCAATATGACGAGCAACACAAATCTCCCTGCGACCTAAGGTGTTTCAACAAATCAGATTCACAGCTGACACAATCGTAGATCGTACTGTAAATCGCACCAGCGGTGTTTCCACATGGATGATCCCAGGTCAGGCCCACCTTTATTGCAACAGCTCAGCCAGGCTAGGTCTCGTTATGTGACCTGTCTTAGTGAGTTGACAGGATAGTGAAGGACATTACTGGTTAGCAGCAACATGCAATCATTTGCACATGCCCTTTTGTGACCGCCCTTCACGTTTACCTGGTACCGGTATAGATAATTTATCAAAACAGGCTAACCCCCCACAATCAGTTGGCAGGCAAATCACACACGGCTTGTTGGCCCTGCCTGCACCTGCGTACGACTTAACACACACCTTAACTCAACATACGGATAATCTCTCCGTCCGTGCTCCCATCTCCCTCCAACCCGTTCCCCTTTCCTCCCCACCCACCCGCCTCAACAGTCGTACTAAGCTGCCCTTTTATATCCCTCCACAATACGCCCTGCGCACGATGGTCCTCTGAGGAGGTGCACGGCAGGCGGTGGGGGAGCTCTTCTATATCTGGCTCGTCACTGCCATCCCCCTCCAACCTTCCCTCTCCCGCCACCTTCCCCCTCTCGCCTTTCCCCTCTCTCGCCCTCCCTCCCTTCCCCCCTCCGTCTCTCCGTCCTTCAACAGTCGCTCCAAGCTGCCTCTTCAAGCCCCTCAGCACTCCGCTCTCCTCGCGCGCCTGCTGCGCACAGCAGCCCTGCCAGGCGGGGCACGGCAGGCTGTGCGAGTGCTCTTCTACACCTGGCTCGTCACTGCCATCGCGCTCGCTCACCTCGGCCACTCCTTCCTGCCCCGCTCCCTCGCTCGCCTGCTCCAGCTCCTCCTCACTCTTGTCACCGCGCCCTCTGCTGCTGTGAGCTTCTCTTGTACCCTCATATGCTTCCTACAGTTGTTCCTCACTCTAGCGACTGCACCATCGCACCCGCTGATGCTGTATGTATCCTTGCTGCACTTGGATCGACGTCAGAGTCAATTCGCACGCCTGATCCAGCTCCCCCTCACTCTAGACATGGCGCCTTCTGCTGCTGTAAGTCCCTCCCTCCCTCTGGTGCTTCGAAGTCAATGGAACTGTGTACCCCCATCATCCGTTATTATTTGGAACTCACCTTGCCCCACTATCGCTCTTATCATAGGGCTTTGCGCTGCAACTACTTTTTAGGCCCCTAACACTTTCCCCCCGTCCGCCCCCCGTCTCCCACCCCCCCGGTGCTCACCACGCCACCAGCTGTCAATACAGCTGGGCGCCATTCCACAGGGCTGGGCGCTGCAGCTGGTGGAGGAGTTGGACGACCTCTATGGCACTCTCGGGGTAATATGCCAGGCTGGGATGGAGCGGGCTAGGGTGGGTTGGGCTGGGCTGTGATGGGATGGGTTGACCTGGGCTGAGCCAGCCGCTGAGCTTGGTTGTGGGCGCTGCAGCTGGTGGAGGAGCTGGACGACCTCTACGGCACTCTTGGGGTAATGTGCTCGCCTTGGCAGGGTTGGGTTGGGTTGGGTTGGGGTGGGGTGGTGTGGGGTGGGATGGGTTCGGCTGGGCAGGCAGAGAATTTGCGTTGAGGAGGAATTGCATTGACCTGGTTGGGGCTGTGTCATGGCAGTAGGTGTGGGAAGGTAATGGAATGGTGGGCGTTGGCGTGAATGGAATGAAAAATGGACCATGTGCTCTTGGCCCTCGCTCCAACACCTTGCGATTGATGCTGCTCCTTCCTTTCTCCTTGCTGCCCTCCTCTCCCCTCCCTCCCCTCCCACTTCTCCCTTCTCACCTCTCCCCCTCCTGCCGCGCAACCATTCACCCGCATGCATCTGGAGCAGCCCATCCACGTGGCAGCAGTTCAGTGGGTGGCACCGGTCCTGCCGCGCCGCGTGATACAGCTGGCGGAGCGGTTCACTGACATGCTGGAAGATGCCGTGTTCCCCCATGGATACGATGATAACGATGACCACCGCATTCGCATGATGTGAGTGCGATGCCTTATAAGTCGACATTTGAGTCATCTTGAAGCTGCGCGTGATACAGCTGGCGGTGCAGTTCGCTGACATGCTGAGAGGATGCGGTGTTTCCCACACATGGGGGATATAATTACGGTGATGACCGTGACCGCCACATTCGCATGATGTGAGTGCGGTGCCTTATGAGTCGGTTCAGAAGGTGTTCCCAGCGGTGGTGCATGGTATCTCACTGCTGCCATGTGATTTGCGCAAGACATATGATCCGGGCACTGCTTTTTCATTCCCATCTCCTGTGACCAATCGCAGATTGTACGTACTCATTTCCCCTCCTCTTCATCTCCTCCCCTCCCGTCCGATCCGCTCTCCTCCCATCCCCTCTCCTCCCCTCCCCTCCCCTCTCTTGTCCTCTCCTCTCTTCTGTCTCCTGCTTTACCAGGCTGCCCGCAGTACCTCCCACAACCGCCTTCACAAACAGATACCACCTCCCCCTGGCATACCAGCACCAGCAGCACTTCGAAAACCCGCTCCAGTTACCACCTGCCCCTGGCGCCACTGCTCCTGAGCAGATGCAACCTCCCCTGCTGCTGCTGCCAGCAGTACCACCACCCACAGCAGAAGCAGCAACTGCAGGCACTGGGGGGATGTTGACTGGTCAAGGGATAGGAGGAGTGAGAGAGATGCGAGAAACACGAATGGCTGCAACAACAGCAGGAGGTGCAGGGGTGGAGGCCGGGGCAGCTGGGGTGGAGGGAAGAGGGGGAGGGATGGTGAGAGCTGGGCATGTTCCTGCTGCTCCTCCTCCTGCTCCTGCTCCTCCTGCGCCTCCCTCCCCTTCTCCTGCTCCTGCTCCTGATACTGCTCCTCCTCCTCCTCCTCCTCTTCCTCCTCCTCCTCCTCCTCCTCCTCCTCCTCCTCCTCCTCCTCCTCCTCCTCCTCCTCCTCCTCCTCCTCCTCCTCCTCCTCCTCCTCCTCCTGCTGCTGCTCTGGCTGCTGCTCTGGCTGCTGCTGCTGCAACTGTTGCCAGTCCGCTAAGGGAAATCAACAGCCCAGGGGCGTTCAGGCCTCGGGCTAAGGTGACCTATTCAGAGGAAGAAGAGAGCGCGTTCACTTTCAGTGGGGTGTCAGGGATTAGTGAGTCTGACAGTAGCGAGGATGATGGTGGTGGGGTGGATGGGAATGGTGAGTTGGGGCAAGAGGTAGGGGGAGGGGTGGGAGGAGGGATGGGAGGAGGGGGAGTTGGGATGGGAGAGGGGATGCAAGGAATGGGAGGAGGAATGGGCATGAGAGGGCAAGGTGAGATACGTGATACAGAGATAGGAGGGTTGGAAGGAGTAAACGGACAGGGTGCAGGGCGGTGGAGGGCAGCTGGAGTTGGTGATGCGAGGTGGAGAGCGGTGAGAGAGGAGGGGAGGCGAGTGGAGATGCCTCTGCAGCAGAGGCAATGGCTGAGGAATGGGAGGACAGAAATTGGGAGGAGGGCGCAGAGTGAGTACGGTGGCACGATGGTGGGAGGTGGGCGTGAGGCATGGGGAAGGGGAGAAGCAGGAAGAGAGGCGTGGGGAAGAACAGGGGCTCAGGCAAGGGCTGGGGATATCCCTGCTACTGGCTTTCAAGTTGCCGCTGGTGGTCGTGGTGGTGCTGCTGATAGGCTGAATCGCAGCCAGGAAACAGGGGCAGGTGTGCGGACAGAGGGGGGACGAGGAGGGTTGTCAGAAGGAGGAGGGTCATTAGGAGGAGGAGGCAGAGGAGGGGTGTGGGAGATGGAGGAGGAGGAGGATGCAGGGAGGGTGTACTATGCGCGTGACTTGGATGTGTTCAGTCCTTCTCATGGGTTTGCTGGCCAGGGAGGAGGAGGGAGAGGAGGCGTGGGGGGTGAGGGAGATGAGGTGAGGCGGCAAGTGAGGTGTAATGTGGAGATTGCAGAAGAGGAGGGAAAGGAGGAGGAAGAGGAGGAGGATGATCTGGAGTTTGCAAGTACAGAGGAGGATGGTGGAGAGGTGGAGGAGGAGGAAGGGGAAGAGGAGATGCGAGCATATGTGGATTTGAACTGGAGACGGGAAGGTGAGGAGAGCAGTGAGAACGAGCCTGTTGCTCCAGGGCAGAGGTTGAACACGACTGGCAGCAGGAGAGCAGTAGCAGCAGGAGGAGGAGGAGCAGCAGGAGCAGGAGCAGGAGCAAGGGAAGGGCTGGCAGCAGTAGCAGCAGGACGTAATGGGAAAGCAAAGGAGGAAGAAGAGGAAGAGGAGGACGAAGAGGAAGAGGAAGAGGAGGAGTTTCGGAGTGCGAGAGGGCAGTGGGAGGGAGAGGGGGACTCCGCCCGTGGCTCTGCCAACACACCACGGTCGTCAACTCGCTCCCAGGATGATGGGTCTGTGTCTGTCACACCCCGCTCCCAATCTTCAGCGCGTTCCTTGTCACTGTCTCAGTTGAACTCGCTTGAAGGCGTGGGGGAGGAGGGTGAGGGCAGTGTGGGAGGGGGAAAAGGGAAAGGGGGAGGTGGAGGAAGGGGCGGATGGGGTTCACGCTTGAGGAAAGGGAGGTTCTGGTAGAGAGAGAGGAGAGGAGGAGAGGAGAGGAGGAGAGGAGGAGAGAAGGAGAGGAGGAGAGGAGGAGAGGAGGAGAGGAGGAGATGGGGAGAGGAGGAGATGAGGAGAGGAGGAGAGGAGGAGAGGAGGAGAGGAGGAGATGAGGAGAGAAGGAGAGGAGGAGAGGAGGAGAGGGGGAGAGGAGGAGATGAGGAGAGGAGGAGAGGAGGAGAGCACTTGTGCGATGAATGTAGCAGTGGAGTGCCTGAAATGTTATGCTTGCTGGAAGAGAGTGTAGAGGGGAGGGGCGGAGAGGGGGAAAGGAAAAGGAAGGGAAGGGAGGAAAAGGAGAGAAAGAAGAGAGCGGCAGGAAAAGGAGGAAAGGAGGAGAAGTCAGATCACGATCAGATGGAGGCGAGATATGGGAGGTGGAGGGTTACAGTGAGGTTGTGGTGATACTGTGCAAATGTGGCGTGTTGTGAAGAGAAGATGCCGTTTGGAGCGTTTCTCAGGGCATTGGGGGGGGTAATGGGAGGAAGTGAAATGGAATTGAAGGAAAGGTGAATGGGAGGTGGAAGTGGGGGAGGAGGTTGTGGACAAGGGGATGAATTGTAAAGAGGATCGAGGGTTGTCAAAACTGTGTCGCGCAATGGAATGGAGTGTACATGGGTGTACATGTGTGGATAGGTGTGCATGCGTGTGCATGGGTAGGCACACTTTACGCTGGAGAGAGGAGGGAAACCGTAGGAAATTTGATAAGAGGAGGCGAGATCGTTGGGGTTGATGGTGGAAGAAGATAAAAACTGACTTGGGAACGGAAGGAAAGGCGGGGTGGAGGGAGAGGTGGTCAGGGAAAGGGGGAGGGTGAGGAAAGGGGTGATGGATTGTGGGAGTGAAAGGTGCAAGCTTAGCATGCGTAGGGAGAAGAAGAAATGGAGGCAGAGATAATAATAGATTTGGTAGCAGTTGGAGAGAAGCAGACATGGTAGTATTCTTAAGATGGATGTGAATGTACAAAACCTTGTGTTACAGCTAGACATGATGAATGAATCTGGAAATTGTTGTCGAAACTGTTGAATCAATTATCGTTTGAAAACAAGCTTATTTTCTTCTCTCGACTATATATCAGAAAAAAAGGCTATCTACACGCACTGTGGATTTCCTTAGCTGCCTAATGTTCAAATATACTAACACTCTTCAGCAAGATTTTAGGCTTCAGACTGTTTAATCTGATATGTCTGACTTTTATATATGCTTTTTTCAGAGAAGCCGTTGCGAAAAGAGAAAAGTGAAAAGTGAATGATGACATTAACAGGTGTACATACAGTGTTAATCTGATGGTCATGTATTCCCCGAGTCATGCTTTGAATGAATTTAATAAAGGAGGTAATTTCCACAGCACACGACCAGGGAACAATAAGATCTGGAAAAGGGATGGCAGGAAAGAGGATAGAATAAGAGGGAAACAACAAGATATGGAAAAGGGAGGGCAAGGCAGAGAAGATGTTTCCTTCGCATCAACGGCACAGAAGAGAGGGATATGCATTAGAAAGAGAAAGCCTTGTAGTAGTAACGCCTTCCAGAGCTAGTATAAGCATGTGGAAGCTCTCAAACCTTGGATACAGAGCCAAAATCTTGTGAGCTTCCAATGTGAGAAAAAAGGACTCAACAACCATGAGCAAAGGTAAAAGCATCTCACCTTTTCAATGAGTGCTGTGCTGTCGACGTCACCTGCCAGCACATGCACGCCCACCACCACTGGACCAGCCTCCTCCGCACCAGCAGCAGCAGTAGAGGCCAAGCGATTTTTGAGTCGACTCAAAAGTCGAAGGGCTTGACCACAATCATGAGCAGAGAGAATATTTTACCTTGTCAATGAATGTTGTGCTGTCAGCGTCACTTGCCAGTACATGCACGCCCACCACTGGACCAGCCTCTTCCCGACCAGCAGCAGCAGCGGCAGCAAAGGCAGAAACACCACCAGCAGCGGCGGCAGCAGTGCGTGCTTCATTGCATGCTCCACAGCGCAGTGCAGCGTACACGCACCCATCAGTGGGCTTCCACTGCCCCCCGGAAACAGCGAAGAATGAAGAACCACGGCGGTTCCATGTCTGCTGCTGCTCGGTCCCTCGCTGCCCAATACAGTTCTCCTGCTGCTGCGGTCGCTGTTGTTGTTGTTGTTGTTGTTGTTGTTGTTGTTGTTGTTGTTGCTGTTGCTGATTGTGCGAATTATGCTGCTGCTGAGTCCGCTGCAAGTGAGTCTGCTGCTGCTGCCACCAGTGCTGTTCCTTCTCCTGCGTTACACTAACCCTGCCCTTCTGTCCCCCTAGCAAACCACCCCCATCACCCAATACAAACACGGCCACCGCTTTCACTTCCCCATCCCTCTCTGCCCTCTCCGCCCTCTTCTCCCCATGGCACAGCGCCCACAGAGCCGGCCTGCCCTGCAATCTCACAGGACGAGGCACAGAAGGCTGTGCCAGCACTGATACCGCTGCTGCTGCTGCTGCTGCTGCTGCTCCTGATGACTGGACACTGGAGGTGCCAGGGGTTTGAAAACACAGAGCTCCAGTGCTTGCTCGAAGGGCTCCTCGAGGGGTTGCTTCAGTGATAGTTTCATTGGCTGCGCCAGTGGTTATTACTGGTGGGTGGGGCGGACTGGTGGGGTAGCATGCAGGGGTGGCAGTTGAAGGGACAGGCGGCGAAGCATTGCATAGGGTGCTGGTTTGTGTGGGAGCAGCAGGAGAGGGCGCACGGGGAGGCGGAGAAGTGGGTGAGAATGGAGTGAACGTTGTGAGTGCGAAAGGCGAGGAGACTGCAAATCCTCTTGTGAGGTCGCTGAGGGTGAGGGCGAGGTTGGGTGGGCAGATTAGGAGAGCACTATGGCACACACGACACTCTGCAACCAGACAATGATGCTGCTGTTGCAGCTGTTGCTGTTGCTGTTGTTGCGGTTGCTGTTGCTGTTGCTGTTGTTGCGGTTGCTGTTGCTGTTGCTGTTGTTGCGGTTGCTGTTGCTGTTGCTGTTGTTGCGGTTGCTGTTGCTGTTGTTGCGGTTGCTGTTGCTGTTGCTGTTGTTGCGGTTGCTGTTGCTGTTGCTGTTGTTGCGGTTGCTGTTGCTGTTGCTGTTGTTGCGGTTGCTGCTGCTGTTGTTGCTGCTGTTGCTGCTGTTGCTGCTGCTGCTGCTGCTGCTGCTGCTGCTGCTGCTGCTGTTGCTGTTGCTGTTGCTGTTGCTGCTGCTGCTGTTGCTGTTGCTGTTGCTGTTGCTGCTGTTGCTGTTGCTGTTGCTGTTGCTGTTGCTGTTGGTGGTGCTGTTGCTGCAGTTGCTGCTGCTGCACTTGTTGTTGCTGCTGCTGATGTTGATGTTGGTGGTGCTGATGCTGCTGCGCATACTGATTTCGATAACCACGCGTCCCCTGCCATTGTTCCTGTTGTTCCAGCTGCTGTTGATCTTGCTGTGACGTCTGAGGAGAACAACCGAGACGAGCTACAGGCGCGAATGAGTGAGACAGGGATGGCTTTTGCTCGGTCGTTGTGAAAGCGATCCCTGTACGCTCTTGCTCTTGCGCACATGCTGCACGAGTCCCTGCAAGCCCTACAAAATCTGCTTCTCCGGCTACTGCTGCGCTTGCTGCTCCTCCTGCTGCTCGTTTTACCATTGCTGTCGTTGCTGCGTTTGTTGCTTTCACGGCTGCTGTTGCTGTCGCTGCTGTTATTGCTGCAGCTGCGGCTCGTGCAACCGGCCCGGCGCTTGGGACACTGCACTCACCAGCCCCCCCACTGCTCCCTTCCTTTCCTCCAACCGAAAAGCCGCAGCTATCCTCCCCACATGCCTGCACCACCACCACCACTGATTCCATATCCTCAAACCCCAGCACACGCCGAATAGCGTCCATGCCCCCATCACCGCCGCCCTCCTCCGCTTCCCATCGCCGTTCCCTCTTCCGACTACTTCCCGCCGCCTCCCCACGCATAGCCTCACTCCGATCAACTGCATCTCTCTCCTCTTCTCTCGCCGTCCATCCCAATCGGCATGCCTGTGCCAAACTCGTTGCGCCCCTCTCTTCTCTGCACTTCCCTCCTCCCTTCCCTTTGACTTCTAGACGCCCCTCCATCTTGCTTCTTCTATCCATATCCTTTACCTCATCACAACTCTCTCTCTTCTTCACATCCTCTCCAGTGACAACCGTATAGAGTTCCGTCTGACTCGCCCTCAAGCCACACCCGTCACGCCCTCTTGCCGCCTGATTTTCCACACCCATTCTGCCTGGTCCGTCATATCTGCCCGCTACATCTGACAGCACGTCTCTCCTTACTCCATATGAACCACCCATCCCAGCCAATCTATCTTCCCCCCTCTCACAGGCTGAATCCGCCCCACGCTGCTGCCCCCCGCCCTCCCCGCCCCCCTTCCCCTCCCCTTTTCCCTCCCCTTTCCCCTCCCCTTCCCTCTCCCATTTCCCTTCCCCTTCCCCTTCCCCTTCCCCTTCCCCTTCCCCTTCCCCTTCCCCTTCCGCTTTGCCCTCCCCCTCCTCCTCCCTATCCCCCAGAAACGACTCCAGCCGAGCCCTCATGCTTGCACGCCTGTGAGAGAGCAAGGGACTGAGAGGGGAGGGGCGGCGGGAAGACTGGGGCCGGAGGTGGGGCGAAGGGCGGGATGCAGGGGGCTGAGAGGCATCAGGGGAGGAAGAGGAGGCGGGGTGCGGGGAGAAAAGGGGCAGGGAAGGATGGGAGGGGGAAGGTTGGGACGGGTGGGAGGTGAGGGAGGAGGGTTGCGGTGAGAAGGGTAAAGGGAGAGGTTGGGTGCGGTGGGAGGTGAGGGGAGGAAGAGGAGGTGAGGGATGAGAGGAGGCAGCAGAAAAGTTTAGGTTTGGGGGAGGTGTGTGGTGGGTTGTGTGTGAGGGGTAGAGGGAAGAGGGGTGGGGAGGGGGTGATGAGGAGTGAGGGGAGGCGGGTTTAAGGGGCTTTGGCAGAGAGTGTGAGAGGTTCGGCTGGGGATGGAGGGGAGGGAGAGGATGGAGGGGAGGGAGAGAGTGGATGGGGGGTGGTCGTTTTTGTTGTTGCTTCTTTTGCTGTAACGTTGACACTGCTGTTGTTGCTGTTGGTGATGATGATATTGGGAGTTCTTGTGTTGGTGGTGGTACTGCTGCTGCTGATGTTGTTGCTGGTGCTGTTGCTGCTGCTGCTGCTGCTGCTGCTGCTGCTGCTGCTGCTGCTGCTGCTGCTGCTGCTGTTACTGCTGCTGCTGCTGCTGCTGCTGCTGCTGCTGCTGCTGCTGCTGCTGCTGCTGCTGCTGCTGCTGCTGCTGCTGCTGCTGCTGCTGCTGCTGCTGCTGCTGCTGCTGCTGCTGCTGCTGCTGCTGCTGCTGCTGCTGCTGCTGTTGTTACTGCTGCTGTTGTTACTGCTGCATGCTGTGATATGGAACATGCCTGGCTTCGCGGATTGAGCTTAGAGCTGATGGGACGAACACACCTGCGCGTCTCACGTTGAGATAGCAGTGACATGCGGCGGGAGGGGAAACAGAATTAGGAAGTGGGGAAAGGCGAAGTTGGGGTACTGGGGGGTGGTTTGGGAAGTCGAGGTGGGGAGGGAGGGTAGCGGTGGGGAAGATGATATAGAGTTTTGTGGATTTGAACAGATAAGGACAGGGCGGGTGAAGTTGAACGAACGAATGCAGAGATGTAGACTGGAAGGCGTGGCAGCAGCAACAAGCATGGCCGTATCATCCAATCTATTAAAAATATAGGTGTGGCAGGCAGCAGCAAGCAAGCTGGATTGAATGTTTACATATGCAGCCTAGCCTTCCTCCTTCTGTCGTGCCTCAACGTGACATGGCTAGTCGTAACTTAGACTTACTAATAATCAGCTCAGTCAGCATGCTGAACATACAGGATGGATATGTATGGCATGAAGGTTTGACTAAAATGTGTCATGTGCCATGGTAACGAGGTGACTTTCGAGTCGACTCAAAAGTCAACATGGCAGCTGCAGCATGGTTAAGTGTGGCATGAAGGTTTGCCTAGTTGTCAGACTGGATTAAGCACTAGAGTCTAGACTGACCCAAGTCAGATTCTCGTGCCTGATTACTAGCACCCTCAACAGCACCCTCAACAGCAGCCTCTCTCAGCACTTGACTTTTGAGGTGCTGTTGAGAGCCTCAGAAGTTATCAAGTTATCACTTGAAGATGAGGTGCCATGAAAACAGATTCTCGTACCTGAAGGAGTGATTCTTTCTTTCTAACATTTCTAACAGCTCAAAAATCGCCTCACCACACACACGCTCGTACCTGAAGGAGTGAAAATCAGGAGGCTGCGTTGCGTCAGTCAAGATCCCCCCCCTGTTGCTACCCGTCGCCAGAGTCGTGTTCTCGGCACAAGCAGTGGTCACACCAGCAGCATCAGCGGGAGCATCAGCAAAATCAGCAGCATCAGCAGCACCAGTTGCAGCAGCAGCAGCAGCACAGCAACCAACAGCAGCTTCAGCTCCACCGTTCATCACAGGGCAATGCTCACACTTGCTGTCGTTCACCATCCGACCATCCACACGGGCCGTCTCTTGAGGCGCCTCAAAAGCAGCTTCAGCTCCACCGTTCATCGCAGGGCAGCGCTGACACTTGCTGTCCTTCACCATCCGACCATCCACACAGACCGTCTCACCCAATGTGCTCTCTGCTCTCATCATCCCTCTCCCTCCACTTACTACTCTACACACCCGCTTCTCTCTCTGCTTCTGCTCCTCCGTCTCACCCTTCCCACCACCCTTCTCTCCTTCCTCCTCTTCCTCCTCATATCCTTCCTCTGTCTGAACCGACATGTTCTTGTGCATACTTTGCCCTCGACTCCTTGACTTCTGCCCCATCCTCTGCCTCTGCCTCTGCTTCTGCTTCTCCTTTTGCTTCTGTTTCTCATTCCGAAGCTTTTTATATCCCCTCTTTGTTCCCTTCCTCTCCCTGTTATTACCATCATCTTCATTTTCCTCCTCTTCCTCATCCCCTTTCACTTCCTCACCCATTTCCTCTTCGTCCTCATCCTCCTCCTCTCCCCCCACCCTCCCCTTCTGTTTTACCCCTTCTTTAGCCTTCTGAATCTTGTTACGTGTCCTGAACCCCTCACCAACAGCATCGCGCTTCGCACCCCTACGAACCGCTTTGTAACCAGCCTTTCCGCCTCCAGGTCTACCTTTACCTTTCACCACACCTTTCCCTCTCCCACCCTCCTCTCCCTCCTCTCCCACACCCTCAACATTCTCCAAATCCTGCAATTTCCCCACTGCAAAACCCCTCTCCACCACCATCTCTACGCCATTTCCTCCCGCATCTTCTTCCTCTTCCTCCTCTTCCTCCTTTACAATCCCGTCCCCCTCTCTACCCATCTCCTCTCCCTCCACACCATGTGCATGCATGGAATCCCTCTCAACCGCCCCCCTTCCCTCTCTTTCCCTTCGTTCTCCCCCTTTTCCCCCTTTCCCCCCGTTTCCCCCTCCTCCCCCCACCCCGCCTTGCCTGTCTGACTGTGCACACTGGAAGCCAGTCACTGTGGTCGTAAAACCGTTGCTTACATCACCAGGCTTGGTAGATTGAGGCGCCTCAAACATCAGCCCAGCAGTGGCATTCCTGCCTAGATCGCATGACTTGGCGTTCCGAGGCAACTCGGATATTGCCTTGGACGTGCCTCCCTTGCTAGGGATGCCTGCCTTGGTCTGCGCTGATGGTGTGGGGTACAGTTGTTGGCGGAGGTGTGGAAGTGGGGGCGGACACAGGGGCGGGTGGGAGGATGGATGTGGGTGTGTATGGGAGTAAGACACACAGAGGTTGGAAAGGGAAGGAGATGAAGAGGGTCGGTTGAGAAATCAGGTGTTGACCCTGTCAATCTTGACAGGGAGTGGATTGACTAAAATTCTGAACGACAGAGCAAAGGGGGTCAACTGGGGGAGGAAGATGGGTGGAGAAAGGGAGGGCAGGAAGGGGACATAAGGAGGGGTTGCCGGGACAAACATTCATCCGTACCAGTCACAAGCATTTACCCCACACACATACATACACAGCCTTCCCACTTTTGCCTCCCCAAATTCCCCCAACCCCCACCTCGGGGGAGCATTTACCACCCCACACACACACAGCCGACCCACCTTAGCTCGGGTGAAGGACGCAGAGAGGGCAGAGGAGGCTGCAGAAGGGTTGGCATGCACGCACAGAAGCTGAGAGCGCAGCCCCGGGGCATCTGCTGCTGCAGGTGGGGCTACACACAAACAGCAACAACAACGCCTTCCCACCATTTCCCACCCCACACGCATACACTCTTTCCCACCTTAGCCTGGGTGAAGAACGCAGAGAGGGAAGCGGAGGCAGCAGAGGGGGTGGCATGCACGCACAGCTGGGAGCGCAACCACCGGGGCATCTGCTGCTGCAGGTGTGGCGAGAGCAGGCGATCGTCTATTGGGGAGGCCAGGGGGAAAGGATGGATGGAGGGGAGGAAGAGACGTGTATAGAGGGTATTTTCGAGACGTCTCAACATTACATCTGCTGCTGCAGGTGCGGCGAGAGCAGGCGGTCGTCTATTGGGGAGGCCAGGGGGAAAGAATGGATGGAGGGGAGGAAGAGGGAAAATGAAGGTGGGGAAAAAGGAGTGTATGATGATGATGATGAGGAGGAGGAGGAGGAGGAGGAGGAGGAGGAGGAGGAGGAGGAGGAGGAGGAGGAGGAGGAGGAGGAGGAGGAGGAGGAGGAGGAGGAGGAGGAGGAGGAGGAGGAGGAGGAGGGAGAGATGTGATTCGGTCGCACAAGCACGGCACGGGAGAAAGCAGGACAGAGTCGTGGGTGGGATGGGATGGGGTAAACCGGGTTCGCGTCTGATAGTTTTCAATGTCGAATTCGGTATGTAGCACAGAATGAATGCGAAGCGCTGCCAGAAAACGCAGACTTTCTCTCAAGGAATCCGTTTGGCGTGTGTCTGCATGTGTGGTGTTTGTGGGTGTGGCGTGTGAGTGAGTGTGGTGTGTTAATGTGAGTAAGTATGTTGCATTGGTCTGCAAAATATCGAATCCATACACAGCTATTACAGGCATGCTATGCAGGGGGAAAGGAAGTGCGAAACATCACATACCCAGCAGGATGATGGCTCCATAGTCGAACCGATGGCGGATGCATCGTCCTGGCATAATAACAAGGGCATTGAGGGCATTGGAAAAGGAATTGGCAATTGGAAAAATAAAGACGTGGATATTCCTTGTTTTTACCAAATTTTAGTGGACTAATAAATCATTCTATCTCGTGCTTCTTGCTTGTTCGTACCGCTTTCTTCCCCCTGCCAGTGCCTTACCCAGTAAAGAAGGGATGAGAGGGGATACATAGGGAAGAGGGCAGAGAGGTCGAGAGTGACGTTACCGATGGCCTGGTTGAGAGCGCGAAATGCATTTTGCCGGTACCACTGGTCCCCGTTGAGCCGCTGCAAGCGTGGCTGCTGCTGGTGGTGGTGCTGCTGGTGGTGCTGCTGCTGTTCGTGGTGGTGCTGCTGGTGCTGCTGCTGCTGTTGGTGGTGCTGCTGCTGCTGCTGTTGGCGGTGGTGCTGCTGGTTGAATCCTTCCAAGTGGGAAAAGGGCTGTGGCGGTGGTGGTGGTGGCTGTGCTGCTGCCTGGTTGTTGTATGCCTTCTTCAGTGTGACCTGGAGACACTTACTGGAAGGAAGAAGGGGAGATGGATGGGAGGATGAAGGGAATAGTGCGAGCGGATCTGGTGCAAAATAGCAAGCAAACGTCAGCGGGTGTGGCAAGAGATATATCGTTTTCTTGTCCATTGTTGTGTAAGCAAACTCTTAAACACTCATGCCTTTTCTATCATGGGTGACGACGACTGTGGATGCGTCTAGGACGAGAGAGGAGGGGTTGAAGGAGGAAAGGGGGCAGGTGAAGACAGAGGAGGAAAGGAGGGAGAGGAGAAGAGAGAGAAGGGGAGGGAGACGGCAAAAGTGTCCGGCAGTGTCGCAGTCGGCAACAGTAAAGGCAGCGTGACGGGATTTCGAGGACAGTGAGCAGAGCATGGATCCAAAAGAGAAAGGCGTTTGGGATTCTGGCAGCACAAGTCGTTCCGGTGTTTTTGAGAATTCTCAGAAACACCCTGCAGGAATTTCGAGGAGAGTGAGCAGAGCATGGATCCAAAAGAGAAAGGCGTTTGGGATTCTGGCAGCACAAGTCGTTTCGAGTGCCAGCCAGGCTGATCGGAGAGGGGGTTGATGGGGAAGTGGGGGAGAGAGAGGCCTTACATGTTGGGGAATGGAATGCCGACGACCACCTGCAATGCAAGGGCATTCAGGGCATTCAGAAAGGACGGACGGATGGTATCTGTCTGAGAAGCGATACTACTGGTTCCTGAGCTTTGAGCTTCCAATCCGCGAGTTGTTCAGGTGGGGACGAAAACGGAAATAGAAGGGTAGTCAGTACTTCAAAGCAGGAAGACCAGAACGGAGCAGTTGTGCCATGCCAGGTTGTAGGGAGACGCGGGGGGGCGGGAGGAGAGACAAATCTGTAGCGTGACGGGTGCTTATGAGGTGAGTGGATTGGATTGGATTCGATAAGATAGTAATGAATTGAGTGCCGGGGCATTGTGCATGGGTGGGTGGGTGGGTGGGTGAGAGGGTTGGCGATCTCACCACAGCACGTGCAGAGTCATCTGCAAAGTCAATCCCTTCTGATGCCTGCGCAAGGGAAGCAGGGAGGGTTTAAAACGATTAAGAGGAAGGAGCGAGATAGAGGAGGGGAGTGGTGTAGAAGCTGCATTTTCAGAAACTAAAACAAGGTGGTGAAACAGGTTCACTGCTATCCATCCATGACCATCAAACTGCGGTGGGAACTGTCTTGCCTTTCCTATCTTAAATTCCCCACCACACCCTCCCACATCTCCACCTCCCACCAACACCTCACCTTCCCGCGGCACACGGCCATCAGCATGGCTCCATTGCTTCCTCTGCCTTTCCCCCCCGCGGTCCCACCCACTCTCCACCGCACCCCCCTCCCCTTCCCTCCCTCTTCTACATCCGATGTCTCAGCTGCTGCAGCGGATGCCTCTGCTCGTGCGCCCCCTGGTGCTGCTCCAGAGGAATGTTGTGGCACTGCGAGGGGGGTCCATGGCTTGGTCGCACTCTGCTGCACTTCCCGCCTGTACCGTGTTAACACTCCTTCTAGCTTCTCCACTCCCCTGGGCTCTGCGCGTGAGAGAGAAAGAGAGAACGAGAGCGACAGTGAGAGAAAGAGGTGAATTTTGAGTGGACTCAAAAATCACTTCTCGCCTGTTCCGCGCTAACCCCCCCTCTAGCTTCTCCACCCCCCTGGGCTCTGCACATGAGAGGCCGAGCGAGAGCGAGAGCGCAGGAGAAAGAGAGGCAATGATGGCAGAGGGGAGGGATGAGGAGGAAACAACAACACCCACAATCTTCAATCCACAATCCTGTAAATCACAACCCGCATCACCAACCTATCACCTCTGGACAGGAAGCAGCAACTTCAGCAAATCCTCGGCATGATCACCCTGACTGGGACCTCCCTCCACACACAAGTGAGAACCGCATGCTAACTCGAACAAGTCAGCAAACAACAGGCGGGGGCATTTGAGAATTTTCAAGAACCGACTTGTCACCACAGCAGGTGGGGGGGGGGTAACTAGCTACAACTGTGTGAGCGCGTGAAGCCATGACGAGGAGCCTGAAAAGGGGCGCAACCTGACCGCAGCTTGCAAGACGAGGAGTCTCGACGTACATCTGTTTTGAAGTCAATTCAATTCCGTTACAGTCGGCTCGGATTGCTTTGGTGTGATATTTAGAAATGTAAGAAACTGACCGCAGATAATCTTTTTGAGGGAGGAGAGGCGGTGCCATGCAGCAGTGGCCTTCCAGCGAGCACAGAGGGCGTCCAACAGCCAGAAGGACGGCAGGAACAGCAGCATCCCCCCAGAGTGTTTGAAAATCAACTCAAGACAGGTGCGTTTTGATTTGATTCGACTCAAAACTCACACCCTTTGAACCAACTCGAAACACACGAATGCACACCATAGAGTCGATTCAAAACACACCTGGACGGAAATGTTAAACACTGACCGCAGAAGATCTTCTTGAGGGAGGAGAGGCGGTGCCATGCGGATGTGGCCTTCCAGCGAGCACAGAGGGCGTCCAACAGCCAGAAGGACGGCAGGAACAGCAGCATCCCCCCTGGCGTCGCTGCCAGTATCGGCAGCAGCGCCTCTGCTAACTCGTCCTGATGGGCGGCGCGTGGTTGGGTGGGTTGGGATGCAGGGAGGGTTGTTAGGAAATGAGAATCCTCAAGGTAGGGGCAAGGCCTACTGGTGCTGCTGGAAGAGCGGGGCAGGGGCAGGACGTTCAGAGCACTCATGCTGGCGTTGCCGCCAGATAGGGGACGGACGGACGGACGGACGGACGGACGGACGGACGGACGGACGGACGGACGGACGGACGGACGGACCTGGAAGGCGGATAGGGGCGCTTTTTCATCCATGCACGTGGGACAGGCGGATCAGATCAGGCCAGGCGGATGGACGGACGGACCTGGAAGACAGGCGAGCATGCGTTAGTGTAGCTGGCGTTGAGGCTGAGACCTGAGGGACCCCTGGGGATGACGCCTGCCCACACCTGGGAAGGGGGAGAGGTAGGGAGAGTGGGAGAGGTAGGGAGGAGGGAGAGACTGAACAGGGAGGAGGGATGGTGGCGAGTGGCAGTGAGTGGGATTGAGTGATAGGGAATGGGAGTGAGCGATAGAGCATGGTAGTGAGTGGTAGTGAGCGGCAGTGAGGGGTAATGAGTGGTAACGAGCGGCAGCGTACCTGGGTGGTGGAGTCGACAACGTGCATGCCCTCCATGGTGCATGTGAAGTCGATTCCTAGCTCCGATGCGAAGGACTCTGTGGGAGATAGCGTGCTGCTCGCATCCCATGCACACAGGCAGGCAGAGGCACAGACACACGTACACGTGCACACACGCATGCACACACACATGAATGTGAAGTCGATTCCTAGCTCTGATGCGAAGGACTCTGTGGGAGATAGTGTGCTGCTCGCATCCCATGCACACAGGCAGGCAGAGGCACAGACACACGTACACGTGCACACACGCACACACACATGAATGTGAAGTCGATTCCTAGCTCTGATGCGAAGGACTCTGTGGGAGATAGTGTGCTGCTCGCATCCCATGCACACAGGCAGGCAGAGGCACAGACACACGTACACGTGCACACACGCATGCACACACACATGAATGTGAAGTCGATTCCTAGCTCTGATGCGAAGGACTCTGTGGGAGATAGTGTGCTGCTCGCATCCCATGCACACAGGCAGGCAGAGGCACAGACACACGTACACGTGCACACACGCACACACACATGAATGTGAAGTCGATTCCTAGCTCTGATGCGAAGGACTCTGTGGGAGATAGTGTGCTGCTCGCATCCCATGCACACAGGCAGGCAGAGGCACAGACACACGTACACGTGCACACACGCACACACACATGAATGTGAAGTCGATTCCTAGCTCTGATGCGAAGGACTCTGTGGGAGATAGCGTGCTGCTCGCATCCCACGCACACAGAGGCAGAGTCACAGACGCAGACACACGCACATGCACACACACGCACGCACGCACACACACGGGCACGCAAGCGTGCGCGCGCACGCGCACACACACACACACGCAATCATACTCCATTGTGACTCCAAAATCCTGCTTTGACGCGCGCTGCCCAGTCAGATGTGAGTAGCACGATGGACGGAGCGACAAAAATCGTGCCACTAAAAGCCGCTGCCACGTAAAGTCGTGGCTCCTACTTGGAGATCTCTTTTGAGAATTCTCAAAAGTCAAGTCACGGCTCCTACTTGGGGCTCCCTCAGTAGCACAATGGATGGAGCGACAAAACAAGCGGACGGCGCATGCCCTACTTCCATTGTGCTTTGAAGACGTCTCATGATGATACACCTCGTCGCATTTTGACGCGTGTTGTGTTGCTCACCCGGACGTGAGCACAATGGTGCGACAGGCCGAAGCTACTGATCGGAACGCAACAGCGGGGTTGAGGCACCACAAGGAGAACCGCCACTGCTGCTGCTGCTGCTGCTTCTGCTGCTCCTCTCCCTGACCTGCAGTCTTGCCGTCTGTGACTGTCCCAGCACCAGAAGTAGCAGCAGCAGCAGCAGCAGAGGACGGAGCAGCAGTGGGTGCGTGCACGAGCATGCGGTAGTCTGGCAGGGCCTTGCAGCCATCGCTGAGAATGAAAGAGAGCACTGTGAAGAGCCCTGGCGCAGAAGGGAAGGGGAGAGCGGAGAGAGGGGAACGACTTTTGAGGCGCCTCAAAAGCAGTCTGGCAGGGCCTTGCAGCCATCGCTGAGAATGGAAGAGAGCACTGTGAAGAGCCCTGGCGAAGGGGGGAGAGGCGAACAAGGGAGAGGGCGAGGGAGAGCGCGGGAGAGTATAGGAGATCGAGGGAGAGTGAGGGAGAGCGAGGGTGGGTGAGGGAAAGTGAGAAAGTACGAGGAAAAAAAAGAGAGAAAGAAACGGAAAAGAGGGTTTCACCAGTGGGAAGGAAAAAACTGTTGAGATACGGATGCGAAGGTCACGTCACGAACAGATGCTGCAATGCTTGCACCTGCATCCGGGCACACACGTACCGTCCAGAAGAGCAGCACCCTTGGCAGACACCTGGAAGCCCACAGCCTTGTCACTGCGCGCCAGAAACAGGGCCTGGTTGATTGGGGGCGCAGCCGCGGCCACAGATGCACCACATGCAGATGCAGATGCACACGCAGATGCACCACATGCACATGCAGATGCACACGCAGATGCACCACATGCAGATGCAGATGCACACGCAGATGCACCACATGCAGATGCACACGCAGATGCACAAAATGCAGATGCACACGCAGATGCACCAAATGCAGTTGCAGTCACAGACATATGGGAGAGTGAGAACTGAGTGTTGCGGTGAAACGTATGCATGGCATGCCCTGCAGGCAGGGTGTAGAGGAGAGGAGGAGGGAGCAGGGCTTTCAGAGTGTGCTTCCAGGGACGCTTAGATGAAGCAGACAATCACACTGCTACTGTGGATGATGAAAAGAAGATCCACATGAGAATAGTCTTAGTATTTTCTCACTGAACGCGCAAGATCTGTAGGCTTGCTGCGGTCGAACCTCTTCCTACTCTTGCAAAAGAAGTTCCACATGGGGCACACATAACGGACTGGATGAAGCAGACGAGGTGACATATGGCCAGCACAATATAAGACATTGAATACACAGGCAAATGCGTGCATACACCTCGCAAAAGAAGAGTGTGCACTTGGAGGGCAGGGCAGTAGGAGGGCCGAAGCAGGACAGTAACAGGGAAGTAGCAGGGCAGTAGCAGGGCCGAAGCAGGGCACTAGCCGGGCAGACTGACAGGCCGAAGGACAGATGGAGGGATGGATGGACAATACCTTGTTGGAGCACTGCAGAAGCAGTGGGAAGTGGGCCAGCGGAAAGCCTGCAAGAGACAGGGCGGCGAGGATCTGGTCCCCTGCAAGACTGGGGGTGGTGGGTGGTGGGACGAGGAGAGGAGAGGACCGGAGCAGGCGGGAAGGGAAGGGCAAGAACGAGGAGAGGTTATGGGGGAGAGGAGGAGATACTGGGCTTGTCGTGTGGCAGATGGGGAGATTTACTGGTGTTACCGGTTTCCTGGCCTGGCCATGAGGTTTGGCTCAAGGAGCGGAGAGGAAATAGAAGGGATGTGTGAGGAGGGTGCATGGGTTTGGACTTGTACACTTGATGGCTATCACACCCGCAAGCAGATGCATTAGCAGTGCAAGCAAGAGGAGGAAGAGGAGGAGGAGGAGGAGGAGGAGGAGGAGGAGGAGGAGGAGGAGGAGGAGGAGGAGGAGGAGGAGGAGGAGGAGGAGGAGTAGGAGAAGATGTTGGTGATAAAGAATAAAAACAAAATAATTAATGAACATTGAGGGAAGACATGGGAAGGGAGAGGGTGGCAGAACGTACACAATAGCATCGTCTGACGGATTGCTGTTATGAAAAGAAGCCTTGGAGCCACTCCTCCCCCGCTTGTGCTTCTGTTGCGCCAGCAACCGTTCACTCTGCTGATTCAGCCACTCTGAGAGAGCCTTTGAGGGGAAGGAAGAAAGGGGCGTGGAGGGAGGGAGAGGCGGGGGGGAGGGGGAGGTATGGGGTGGGGGAGGAGTGGGGTGGTGAACAGGGAGAAGGAAAAGGGGGTTTTGATGGAAAGGGTCGCGCATGCAAAGTGGTGGAAATAAGGTCAGAGACGAAGGGGGCACAACACACATATACGGGAAAAAAAAAAAAACAAAAAAAAACAAAAAAAAAAAACAAAAAAAAAAAAAACAAAAAAAAACAAAACAAAAAACCTGGGGAGCATCGTGGGGAAACAATAGCAGGATAGCGAGACGATAAATCATGAAGTCAGAATGATTGCATCTGCAATAGGCCTCAGTGGAGGTGTGCAGAGAGAGATGAATCCAGGTTGACTCACAGTGATCGCATCTGCCAAGGGGGCGTAGACCCTGGCATAGTCCTCCTCAGAGGGAATGGGCAACCAGTCCTCCTCTCCCTCTCCTCCCTCTCCTCCCTCTCGTCCCTCCTCTGGCCCTATAATACCACTCTCCCCGTCACCACCTCTTCCTCTCCCTCCTCTCCGCCTGCCAGCTGCTGCCGGCTGTCCAAGCATGTGTGGCAGTCTGACAGGAGTTGGTGGCTTGGCTAGTGCTTCTAACTCCCGTGCTAACTCTGCAGTGGTGTCGGATTGGCAGAGGATGGGAGAAGGGGGAGGAGAGGAGGTGCAAGGAGGAAAGATTAAGAGAGGAAATGCAGAGGAAAATAGGCAGGAGAGGGGAGAGAGGGAGGGAGGGAGGGAGGGAGGGAGGGAGGGAGGGAGGGAGGGAGGGAGGGAGGGAGGGAGGGAGGGAGGGAGGGAGGGAGGGAGGGAAGGGAAGGGGAAGGGGAAGGGGAAGGAGGGAAAGGCACTTGGAAGGTCAAGATGCAAAAAGGAGAAGGTAGGAAGGAAAAACGGAGAGGAAGCACGAAATGAGCAAGCAATCCAAGCATAGCTAATCAAGGCAAGAGGAGGGATGGCGTCAGAGGATCATAGCGCAAGCAAGATCAGCAGCAGAAGGCGAGTGAGCAGGCGAAGCTATAAATCTAAAGCAGCGGCAGCAGAAGCAGCAGCAGCAGCATCGCATATTCTAGCAGCAGCAGCAGCAGCAGCAGGAGAAATTTACCCTGAAATTCAGAGACACAGGCCTCAAAGCTCGCTGCCTCCCTGGACACATCCTCTATGTTGCTGGGTAGGAGAGAGAGAGAGGGGGAGAAACGGGAGGAGCGGAGCGGCAGGGAGAGGAAGGGAGAGCAGGGCAGGGCAGAGCATATCAGAGGGATCACGGGAGAGAAGAGCAGGCATGCAGAGATGACGGCATGACACAATTGGTGCAGTGCGGGCGGGGAGATGAGAGGAGGGCGGGGGGCGTGGGTTGGTGGCAGGAGGCAGCAGAAAGTGGTGCTGAGGTGTTGGGGGATGTTGATAGGTGTTGAGGGGTGTTGAGCCAACCCAGCACTGTTCCTCACCACACACCTGGTCGTGGCGAGCCATTTCAACTGACAGAAAATGCCATAGTGAGACACTCTGACACACAGACATACACACACCCACACACACACACACACACACACACGCGCGCGCGCACACACACACACACACACACACACACACACACACACACACACACACACATCCGCGCGCATGCACGAACTCACACACACAAAACGACTCAACTGTGCCTCATCGAAGACTCAACTGTGCCTCATCGAAGACTCAACTGTGCCTCATCGAAGACTCAACTGTGCCTCATCGAAGACTCATCTGTGCCTCATCGAAGACTCAACTGTGCCTCAAATGCGCATGAATGCTCCCGTCCAGACGAATGTCCATGCTGTGCCGCACCACCAGCGCACAGACACACATACACAACTTTTGAGGCGCCTCAAAAGCAGACACACATACACTCACACGCACACACACACAACTTTTGAGGCGCCTCAAAAGCAGACACACATACACTCACACGCACACACACACAACTTTTGAGGCGCCTCAAAAGCAGACACACATACACTCACACGCACACACACACAACTTTTGAGGCGCCTCAAAAGCAGACACACATACACTCACACGCACACACACACAAACACAGAGCGACTCAACTGTGCTTCGTCGAATATGAGAATGCTGCCGTCCAGACGAATGTCCATGCTGCGGCGCACCATGGGAGACAGCACGTAGTTGTATGGACACATCACCACATCCACGTCCTCTGCTGCTGCTCGCGCTGCATAGTACGGGCACCCTGCAAGGTGGTCCGGGAGGGTGCATTGCGAGGGAGAAAGCAGGGGGGCAGATTGGAGGGGAGGGAGGGAGGGAGGGAGGGAGAGAGCAAGAAGTCAGCCGAATGGGAGGGAAGGGAAGCACTACCCCTCCCACTAACGCCAACGCAGTTGAGGCACCATGCTGCGCCGCACCATGGGCGACAGCATGTAGTTGTATGGTATGGACACATCACCACATCCACGTCCTCCGCTGCTGCTGCGCGTGCTGCAACGTACGGGCACCCTGGAAGCGAGAGAGAGGGGAAGTACTGACTGTCACATGACTAACCGTCACAACGCCACACGCATATCCACTGTCGCTGCCTGCGCTGCAAAGTACGGGCACCCTGGGAGGAGGATCAAGAGGGTGGAGGGAAGAAGGGGGGAAGGTTGGAGGGGAGAGAGCGAAAAAAGCAAGGGAGCACCTGAGAGGGAGGAAAGTAGTGAGTGTTACTCCACCAGCAACGCAGATGAGGCGCCAGATAGCTTGCAGCAGGAGGAACAGCAGAAGCAGACGCAAAAGCATCAAGACCACGTAGATTCGTAGCACCAGCGGATGACCCAGCGGTTGGACTGACCTAGTGGGGTCATGGGGTCATAAGGTCATGAGGTCAAGGGGTCAAGGGGTCAAGGGGTCATGCAGTCAAGCAGGCAGTCATGAGGTCATGAGCTCAATGCTCGTCATGAGCGCCATGCATGCATGCATGCACACCCGCCTTCGTTGTGTCGGCCCAGCTTCTCCAAGAGGTCTTCTAACTCAACAAATTGTGCTCCCAGGTTCATGACCACGCGCCCACGCACGCGCACACCCACGCACCTTTGGTGCGCTTCCCCAGCTTCACCAGGTCCTCCACATCGTGCCCTGCCAGGGAGTCATTTTAGTCAACCAGTAGCCTCCGTTTATGATCACGCACGCACCCACGCACCTTTGGTGCGTTTCCCCAGCTTCACCAGGTCCTCCACATCGTGCCCTGCCAGGGGGTCTTCTAGCAGTCCTCACCGCGCGCACATAGTCACATCACAGGTTCATGACCATACACGCACGCATGCACCCACGCACCTTTGGTGCGCCTCCCCAGCTTCACCAGGTCCTCCACATCGTGCACTGCCAGGGGCCCTCCGGGCTGCAGTGAAGGATGGCCCTTCAGTTCAGCGTAGTTGCTGGGAATGAGGGAGGAAGGGAGCGACAAGACATATGTCGAGTAGAGAAGAGGAGAGGAGAGAAGAGAGGGAGTTTGTGGTACGGGGGGCTAAAGAGGGGAATGGATGTGGTGTGAGAAGAGGGCGGGGCGGTGATGATACTGCTATGTGGGATGGGTTTGGACGAGGAGCTAGGGTGGAGGCGGGGGCGGCTGGAAAGAGGATGTTATGAGGCGCAGTTCAGGTTGGGGCTAGTGGTTGCATTGCATTGCACTGAGGGGTTAGAGATAGAAGCGGCAGGCAAATTTTTGAGACGTCTCAAAAACAACCTCACTTCCTGAGGGGTTAGAGATAGAAGCGGCAGGCAAACAAGTGCAAGTGCATTGCGCTGAGACAAGTGGAGTGTGGGAGGTACGAAGAGAGATGAGTTGAAGCACGAGAGGATGGGGAAGCGGGGAAGGAAGGAAACGAGGACGAGGAAGAGGAAGAGGAGGACAGACAGACAGCGAGAGAAGGGAAAGAGAAGGGAGGGGGGTTATCGGAAGAAGATGCAGCCAGTGCCTGAGACTTGCTGCACCTCATTTTCTACTGCCTGGCACAAAACTTGGGTCGCTTTTGAAAACTCTCGGAAGGGAAAGAGGGGGTAAGGGAGGGGGATTACCGGAAGAAGATGCAGCCAGTGGCAGTGACTTGCTGCGCCTCGTCGTCGGTTTCTTGCACGAGACCCGGGGATAAGAGAGCCTTGCTGAGATGCATGGCAGATGAAGAAGGCATGGCAGATGAAGAAGGCATGGCAGATGAAGAAGGCATGGCAGATGAAGAAGGCATGGCAGATGAAGAAGGCATGGCAGATGAAGAAGGCATGGCAGATGAAGAAGGCATGGCAGATGAAGAAGGCATGGCAGATGAAGAAGGCCGAGATACACACAAGGACCGGAGTCACGAACGAGAGGATGGCAGACTATGATATGAGAAAGCAGCAGAGAGAGATGCCACAAGCTGAGTGCAAGGGTCGTAGTGCAAGCACGCACGGCAGGGCAGAGCAGAGCAGAGCAGGGTAGTGCAAGTTGACTTGAGAGAAACGGATCAAGACGAGTGGAACGAACACAGACGCACAGACGATCGCTTGTGTGTGTGTACATGTGATGTGAGCAGAAGGCAAGGCGTGAAAGTGAGGCATCAGGGCCCAAAAAAAGCCAGAATTGCTGTTCCCCTGAAGCTAGAGAGATGACGCTTGGGTGATGAGCGGTTGTAAACAAAGCACTGCTAGTGATAACGTTTCTTGAGAAACGAGGCGTGCATGGTGGGTAATGACTCTCTGGGGAGGATGATGAGAGCAGAGCAGAACCCACCATGCCTCGTCAACAGACGGTTTCTTGAGCGCAGTGTTGTTGCAGCAGTAGTGCTTGCGCGATGCCTGGAGGATAGGGGGTGGTGACAATGGTGATAGTGGTGATAGTGGTGGCAGTGGAGGCAGTGGTATGGCCAGCAGGGGAGAGGGAGCAGCCAGAGAGCTAGAGAATGTCACACAGAGTTTGGGCACTTGAAAGGTGACATGACACTAGGAATCGTAAACTGGGAAGGGCGATGGAAGAAGAACAAGGCAGGGGGCGAGGGCGAGAAGAGGCAAGTGGGGAGGGGATGGGTAAGTGAGACGGCAGGGTTAAGCTTGTTAGTAGTTTGAAAAGTTGTCACTAGGATCATCGGATGGGGTCAGGGGCGGAGGAACATCAAGCCTTTCAAGGCGTCTCAAAACATTTTGATTTGACGCGTCTATAAAAGAAATGGGACATCTCATAAAGGGTACATCAAGAATCCTAAGTGCCTAAAAAGCAGACTTTTGAGGCGCCTCAAAAGCAGCGGTATAGCAGGTAGCAGTTGCGATTTTGGCACAGGGACCAGACCAGGACGTATGGTGCGGTGCTGTGGTGTGATGTGGGGTAGGGTCAAACAAAGCACAGCACAGCACAGCACAGCAAAGCGCTTCCACTCATCAAAGGGGTGACGAACAGAGAGAGGGTGGCATGAATGACACAACAGCACAGATAGATGGTCCAACCTCTGCTGCTACTTTGATGTTTACTCTCAATCGCCCCCAACTCCAAACCCGCAACAACCCCCAACTCTAAACCCCGAACCTTCCAACCACCCCAAACCCCACAACAATCCCTTATCCCAAACCCTGCACAAGCCCTGGGTGCACGCACAAGCACGGTCATGGTAGGCGAGTAGCTGCTCTTGCGCAGCTCCCGCACCACCTGCGATATCTGGCTGTGCGTGCGCCTGTGGTGGCGCACGAGCGGAGGGCGGGGAGTGTGGGGGAAGGAGGACGAGGGCGTGTTTCTGAGACGGCTCACAAGGGGAGTAGCTGCTCTTGCGCAGCTCCCGCACCACTTGAGATATCTGGCTGTGCGTGCGCCTGTGGTCAGGGGGCACGACGGACGTGGGAGAGAGAGAGGGAAGTGGGGAGAGGCAGAGTGGGGGAAAAGGAGGGTGTGGATGAATTTTGAGACGTCTGGAAATGCGAGTACCTGCTCTTGCGCAGCTCCCGCACCACCTGCGCCTGTGGTCGGGGGGGGGGGGGGGGGGGGGGGGGAGGGGGGGGGGGAACGGGCAGGGGGCTAGGGGCGGGGGGCGGGGACGACGGGGCAGGGGGCAAGGGGCAGGGGGCGAGGGGCCGGAGGCAGAGGGGTGAGATGAGTCAATTCATCCATCACTCCAGTCCCTCCCAAATCACTGTCAGCTCAATTCTCCTGAACTGAAACAAATGTCAGAGGTCCACTGGTGATCCCCGATTGATCCTAGGGAAGGGATACAGGCATGTTGGCCTGGGGGGTTATGGGCCCACTGACCCGCTACTTAACAAGACCTTTTATCCCAATGGTCTAGTGGTTGGGATTCTGACATGGTATCAGAGCGAAGGTCTCGGGTTCGAATCCCAGTGTGTGCACTTCGGGCATCGCAGTGCGGGGGGGTGTTAGAGGTCCACTGGTGATCCCCGATTGATCCTAAGGAAGGGATACAGGCATGTTGGCCTGGGGGGTTATGGGCGCACTGACCCGCTACTTAACAAGCCCTTTTATCCCAATGGTCTAGTGGTTGGGATTCTGACAACAAACCCATCCAAGCCAAGCCCATTACGACGAGGCATACAAGATCTTCGGGAACGGAAGTGAGCAGCCGCCAAGTTATGGGCCGTGCTTTCCCTGCTTCTTTTTTAGTCAACTAAAAAAAACAAGCCAGGCCCCTTACGAGGCATAGAAGATCCTGGGGAAGTGAACAGCCGGCACGTTCTGAGCCGGTTTTCCCTGCTGCTGCCCGCCCTGATGCCCCTTCCGCTGCACGTCGCCCTGTCCTTCCATCTCTAAATCCGCGCTTCCTCTGCCATTCTCCGGCTCGTCTCCCTCCTCGCCTGCGCCCTCTCCCATTCCCGTGCCTGAAGCAGAAGGAAAGCGGGAGAGACGAGAAAGAACGATGGAAGCGGAAGGAACAGACGAAGCAATCATAACATGCACAGCTATCGCAAGATGTGTGGGTGTCCTTCTCGTTTAGCTTCAGAGCAGCAGCGGGCGTGTTGAATCTAACAGCGGGACACAACACATATCAGACAGACAGTGGCTGGGAAATTGCTGCAGCCAGCACATCGCGGGAGCCATTGTAACGAAGCCACAGTTGAGTCAAAGTTGCCTCTGACAGAGGATAGACTGCAGCAGCAGCAGCAGCAAGCATGCTAGGGTTTTGGGGCCTGAGTGTTTCGACGATCCAGGCTCCAACTGACAGGAATGAGAACAGGACGAAACACAGATCGGCCGGCTGCCTGCCTCAGGCTGACTGTCTCTAGTTGACTTGACTGTCTCAGGCCTGCTGAGCTGACTTGTTTCTCGCACGATAACAATGCCGAGCGACTCACAACGCCCTGTCACGGAGCTGCACGCCCACCTGCGCCCATCACCTGCGCCCATCACCTGAGCCCATCACCTGCGCCCATCACCTGCGCCTATATCCTGCGCCCATCACCTGCGCCCATCACCTGCGCCCATCATCACCAGCGCCCTACCCATGCGCTTCATCACTTCACTATACTCAGCGTCCCTCCACTCCACTCACCGTCAGCATCTGGGACAATGAACCCTCCCCCAGTAGTATAAGGATCCCCGTCATTACCGCCACCGCTTCCGCCAGCCCCCGCAGTCCCCGCACCCCCTGCGTGCGCCTGCGCGAGCCGCGCGGGGTCCTCCTTGGCGCGCTTCTGCCACGCCAGCGCCGCACACAGCAGCGCGAGGGTCTTCCCCGTGCCCGTGGGGGACTCGAGCAGCGCGTTCGTGCTGCCCATACGCGCGCGCGCGGGCGGAGGGGCGTGGGGTTGGGCGCGGGGGAGCGCGTGGGGGGAGAGGGAGGCGTCGAGCGCGGAGATCATCTTAGCCATGAGCTGTATTTGCGGAGGGTATGGGGTGTGGGGGAACAGCACGCGGTAGCCGCCAATGTGCAGCTCCTTCGGGGCTGCGGCGGAGGCTGAAGGGGCGGAAACGGCGTGGGCGGAATCTGAATGGGCGGAAGCGGAAGTCGCGGAGGGTGCAGGCGGGGGCCCTGCAGGCGCGGAGCAGCAGGTCGTGGCGGAAGCGGAGCGCGCGGAGACGCTGGTTCTAGTAGCGACAAAAGCTGCGGCACCGTTGGCAGTAGATGCTGCAGCAGCTGCATTCGCCGAGTCGCCAGCATCGGATGCAATATTCCCGGCGTTTAGATGGGGAGTGGGAGAACTAGCGGGCCGGGCTCTAAAGGCTGGCGAATGTGGGGAGGATGATAGTACCCGCATGGTAGCGTCCGCATTATCTGAGATTTTTCCGTGATTATTCATTCGATGGAGGAGGAGGTGACTTGACAAGTACTGCGTGGCTGTTATTAGAAGCGCGTACTGTGGCTACGAGGACGGTCTAGGGGTTATAATGGTGCTTGCAATGCATAGTGACATTCTCCCGACGCGTAATTGCTGGTGTGGGATTAAAATTTGGAACGGCCTTTTCCCGACAAGACAGAGTCGAGGCGACACGAGCGGGACGACGGAATGACCACACGTGCCATCCTGACCAGGGAACATACGCAAATAGCGAAGAGTTAGGAGATGCCCTAGGTTGGACTGCTACAAGAGATGGCTTCGTCCTTCTCAGCCGTGCTCCTGACGCTGTTGTGCGAGCATTTGAATTGAAGGGTTTTGGCGGGAAACTTCGATATGGACGAACCCGGATGCCGACCTTTGAGCAGGGTTTCTTTCGCATAAGCTTACAAGTTACGGAAGCTTGAATTTTTAACGTCTAAATTTACTACTATACATTCCAGACTTGCATTTTAGCACATCATTCATAATTTACGTTTCTGGGGAATATATGTTTCATCAATCTGGTAAGGTATCAGTAAATGCGGACCAACAACACCATACATTCCACATAAAAGTGCATTGTATTAAACTAGAATGGTTTTAAATCCGTGACCTGTACAGAATTCCTTTTTGTGTTAGTAAAAATATCTTCATCTTACATCAGCTCTTGTTAGGGTCGCCTTGATACTTGCAGTAGGGATATCATAGAGCGGACAGACATGAAATTATCTGGTTGTCATTCGTCCAAGCTCATTCTCGAACCCTTTTCGGCTTGTTGGACGCGGCTTCATGATTGGTTGAATCGGGATTCCTTTGCGCTATGAATAGCGAGGGAAGCGAATACCAGCCACATAATGAAGGTGTTGCGTGCGGTTCCAGATGGCCGCAATCACGGCAATCTGAACGAATCATTGCCGAAGCACTTTCTGAGCTTCACCAGGTTCAGCCCCTTCAGGTTCGTGAGCGAAATGCGGCCACCTTCGCCTTCGCTTTCGCAACCATCAACATCAGTTTGACGCCACACACTTAGTCAACCGATGCTCTTCGTGGATTTATCGCCGCCATTCGTACACAATTCTTCTCGCAACAATCTCCTCAACTGCCTTTTCCCTGATTTGTGGTGGGTGCTGGAAGCTCGGCCAAGCCGCTTGCGATTCGAGGATCAAGTGGAGGTGAAAGGGGAGGTGCCCTCCTCCCGTCACCGCCAAGCCAAACCCCTTCCGCCAGTTCCCTCAACTTCTTGCGCCACCTACAACAAACCTTGCTGCGCCAGCCAGCCAAGCTTTTGCAGATAGGGTCGCCCCCGCCCCCTACCACCAATCTGCCCTTCTTCGGCTGGTGCTGCACCAGACCAGGGCCACCCAACCCAAGCCTCACACCCATACTGTGTGTTAGAGGCTGGTTTAGAGAAAGACACTTATTTTGCTTCCTCGCATCGGAAGCACGCTCGAGCGGAGCCCGATAGAACGCCTGGCGAAGCCAGCACCCACTGCCGCTCGTTCCTCTCGCTCTGACGCGACCACTTACAACTCTCCTGGCAATGGCGGCGTCTTCAGTGTGTCTCACCGACCTCGCGCTGCCAGCTGGCAGCGCCACGGCAGCAGGCACGACACGTGGCGCGTCGCGGCCGGCGCGGAGTACGCAGTATAGTGCTCCCATGCGGAGCGGTTTTCTCGGTATGAAGGCCGAGGGAGGGAGCGCGTCGCCCGTCGTCGGCTCGTCCAAGGGACCTCAGCTGCCTAACATTCGCGCCGAGGCCGGCCAGGTAATGCGCACCTTTAAGCATAGTTCCGTTGTAGAGTGTCTTCGTTTTAATGTTTTATTGTCAGTTCGTTTGTTTCTATTCTGTTTTTTTGTTGTTGTTGTTCAAGATTTTCCTGCAAGTTTTTTCGCTGCTCCGCACTCGTGCTACAGTTTTCAAATTATGCACCTTCTTAGGTGAAGCATAGTGCTGAGGCTTTTTTTCTGGGTAAGAAGAATATCAAGCAACCAAAATTAGTTTCACAGTCGGGCAGTTCGGAAGCATGTAACTCGTTCGTTTTGTTCAGATACTTATGTTTCAGCGTGCAATGAACATAATGACACAATACAGAAATGCGGGCACACTGCGTCCGCTTACTGCCTGTCTTAGTGCACTTTATTACCATTCTATGCGCCCCGTTCTCTCGCTCTCACGCCTCACAACTCCCTTCCTCATCCTCTTCCTCCCTCCCCTTCTCCCTCCTCCAACCCTCTTTCCACTCTCCTCCCTCCCCCCCCCCCCCCCCCCCCCCCCCTTTCCCCTTCCCTTCCTCTCCCGTCCCCCCCTCTTCCCCTTCCCCTCCCCTGCCCCCCGCTCCGCTCGTCCCCATTTCTCAGTCTGTGCAAGTCTTCGTGCGCGTGGGGAGGGGCGACTCGCTCCGCGTGCTCGCGCGCACCTTCAACTGCACGCCCGCGGATTTCATCCGCGCAAACACCGATTTCATCGCCAACAGCGGCGACGTAATCTACGAGGGCGATATGCTGCGCGTTCCCTCCTTCGCCTGGACCGGCACCGCGCCGCCTGGCCTCCAAGACCGCATAGTGATTAAGAACGTCGACGAGTCGGGGTCGTCCGCCGGATTAGGTGCCGCTGCAACCGCCGCCGTCACTGCGGTGAAGGCTAAGGCGCAGGCGCTGATCACGTCTGTGGGGACGGCGGCGGGGGGAGCCGGGGGCGCGGGGGGGATCGGCGGAGCGCAGGGCGGAGTGCTGCTCGGGGCGATCGGGCTGGCGCTGATTGTGGTGGGCGGAGTGGCGGTAGGGCGGAAGAAGCTCGCCAAATCGGCGGCACCAGCGGAAGGTACGAGCGCGTAGGTTGATGCTGGAAACGCAAAGTCGCGAAAACAATGGGAGATGGGAAAGTGAGGGAGCGGGAGCGGGGAACACGAAACAAGCGGGGGGGGGGGGGGGGAGTGTGCGTAAGGGGGCGAGGGAGGGAGCGGATTGGTTGAGAGTTTTGCGTCGATCAAGTGTTATCCGTCTTGTCTTGTTGCAGGCTGAAGTGAACGGCTTTAGCGAGATGACGAAAGAAGGTTTGCAAATGTATTAAAAAAAACCGAGCTTGCTTTAACTCGCGGCTTACTTGACTGGTTGCTTGGTTTCTTCTCTTCTGCCCACCTCTTTCTTTCTCTCGCAACCCCTCTCCCTCCCTCCCTCCCTCCCTCCCTCCCTCCCTCCCTCCCTCCCTCCCTCCCTCCCTCCCTCCCTCCCTCCCTCCCTCCCTCCCTCCCTCCCTCCCTCCCTCCTTCAATCGTTCCCAACCCCTCTCCCTCCCTCCCTCCCTCCTCCTTCCCTCCCTTTCCCTCCCTTTGCCTTTCCTCCCTCTCTCCAACGACTCCTCTCTCTTCCCCCTTTCCTTCTCCTCTCCCCACTCCCCGTCCGCCCCCTTTCCCTCTGTCTCCCCTCTGCGCTTTCCCGCCTCATTGCCAGCAGTGACGCCGCTAGCGGGAGCATCCGTGGCTGCAAAAGGTGAGACAGAGCACACAAGCTTAGAGCGCGTTGTTAGAGCCTCGCACACACACGAGACCGCATAAGGAAGGAACGTATATATTATATACCACGTCCGACAACGCCTGTCAGTAGGAACCGGTTGGTCTACTCTCCTCATATCATCATCCCCCTCCATCTAGCACGCATTCTCTTGCTATGACCCCACATCCTCTCCGTTCTCGTGGCTCGCGTGATTCCCGCTTGACATACTTCACCGCTTTCTTCCTCCCTTGCCAAGTCAAGCCCATTCTCAACGGCATGTCCTACACTATCATTCGAAAACGCCTCCTCCCCTCTCCCTCCCCTTGCATCACTTCCCCTCCGCGCATCATCTACCTCAGGCCCATATTCCGACGCATCTGAACCCACAACTCTTCCCAACAAGCTCCTGCAAGCGTCTGTCCTCTCCACCGCTGCTGCAGCTTCTGCCACGGCCGCTTCCCCTAAAACAACCGGCCCGTATTCAGACCCTTCACAGACTGTGAATCTGCCTATTCCTGTCGCTGCTGCTCCTGCTAAGACTACACTTGCCGCAGCATCCGGGCCATATTCCGATGCTTCAGAGACGAATAGACTGCCCAGCAAGATGATGCAGGCGTCTGTTCTCCCCTCCTCCTCCTCCCCTGCTACTCCCGCTAAGACCGTCCCAGCAGCAACTGGACCGTACTCTGTTGCTATGGAGATTATCAGCGCATCCCCCAAGCTACAGAGGTCCACCTCCTCCTCCTCCTCCTCCTCCTCCTCCTCCTCCTCCTCCTCCTCCTCCTCCTCCTCCTCCTCCCCTGCCGCTGCTGCTCCTGCTGCTGCCGCCGCTGCTGCTGCTCCTGCTAAGAGCTCCATTGCTGCAGCATCCGGGCCGTATTCCGATCCTTCGGAGTCTGTCAATCTGCCCAACAAGTTGCGCCAGGCGTCTGTTCTCCCCACCTCTGCTGCCGCTAAGAGTGCCACCGCTGCTGCAGCAGCAGCCGGGCCGTATACCGACGCTTCGCAGGTTGTGAATCTGCCAGTCCCTCCTGCCTCCCCTGCTGCTGCTGCTCCTGCTAAGGCCGCCGCAGCAACCGGACCATACTCCGATCCTTCAGAGACGGTCAATCTGCCCAACAAGCTGCGCCAAGCGTCCGTTCTCACCCCCGCTTCTGCTGCTGCCGGTGCTGCAGCTGCTGCTGCTGCTCCATCAACTGGACCATACTCTGATGCTTCAGTGACCGAGAGCCTGCCTGCTAAGAAACCTCCCGTGGCCCCCACCCCCTCCGCTGCCCCTGCTGCTCCTGCTAAGGCCTCAGCGTCCGGGCCGTATTCCGATCCGTCAGAGACTGTCAATCTGCCCAACAAGCTGCGCCAGGCGTCCGTTCTCCCCACCACCCCTGCTGCTGCTGCTGTTTCTCCTGCTAAGGCCGCAGCAACTGGGCCATACTCCGATGCTTCAGAGGCTGAGAAGGTTCCCAACAAGTTGATGCAGGCGTCTGTTCTCCCTGGATCCTCCTCTCCGCCTGCTGCTGCTCCTGCTGCTGCTGCTGCTACGGCCCAGCCTGCTGTAGCAGCAGGCAACGGTGCCGTGGCGGCAGCGGCAGAGGCAGAGAAACCTGCTGAGAAGAAGAAACCCATCTGGAGCTTCTTGTTCAAAAAGAAGGAAGCGAAGAGCGAGGATGTACCAGCACCTGCTGCTGCTCCTGCTCCTGTTGTTGCTGCTGCTGCTGCTGCCACTGCTGCAGCTCCTGCCGCTGTTGCGGTTGCAGCTGCTACTGTCAAGCCTCAGGCTGTTTCGTCGCCTGCCGCTGCTGCTGTTGCTCCAGTGGCGGCTGATGCGGCAAAGTCAGAGGAGCTGTCAGAGGTGAGTGGATGATAGTGCCTCATGCTCTCTGCTGCTTTTGCCGCTGCTCCTGCCGCTACTCTTGTTGCCGCTTCTGTTGCTGCTTTTGCTGCTTGCTGCTGCTGCTGCAGTGCAGCTGTGTGACATTCCCAATGGGGGTGTAATCTTGCCCGCCTCAGATGTACCCACCCACACAGATGTACCCTTCCTTCCCCCTCCTCTGCCTGCCTCCCTTCACCCTTTCATGCCCTCATTCTAGCATTCTCTCCCTTTCTCTACCCTTTTCTGGCCCTCAAAACGGAAACTCCTTCCCTTGCGTGCCGTATCTCTGCCGTGGCCCGTGGGTGTGGTGTGTTGTGTGTGTGTGTGTGCATGTGTGTGTCGGCCCATGAACAGGAGGAGGAGAACTGGCGCAAGATCCAGGAGCTGATCAAGACGTCAATCCCTGCGCTTGCTGTCGGGCTTGGCACTGTCGCCACCGTCACTGGCGGATGTACGTGCCGTGCACCAGCAGTGCACCAGCAGTGCACCAGCAGTGCACCAGCACCGCCACTACCATTACTCTTGCAATGCTGTGCATTGTCGAGACGCATAAAAAATAGCACCACCGCCACTACTCTTATTACGCGTGACACGCTGTGCTTGTGCTTCTGCTCGTGTCTGCTGCTCTTGCACCTCCATGCACCACTGCGAGCATGTCATGATTGGTACAGCTGGTCTGTGACTGCTCACTGGTACGCCAGTGCCACCAGCAGCACCACCACAGCCAGCAGCAGCAGCCCTGAGTGCATAAGAAATGAGACACATGCAATGCACGCACATGCTCCTCCTCCCATGTTTCCCTGTTTCCATGTCATATGCTTCCGTGTTCTCCCCCTCGTTCCTCGCTCCTTGTTCCCCCTCATTCTTCCTCTTTCCTCGTGCCTCATTGTGCCTCCTCGTTCCTCCCCATTCCTCCTCATTACCCCCCCCCCTTCCCGGTGTGTGTATGGCAGTCCAAGGGGCCATGGAGGCCATAGGGCTCACAGCAGTCACATCCTTCATTGGATACGACCTTCTTTGGGCCGAGCAGAGGTAACAGACCTCAATCAATCTCCCTGCCATGCATTGCTTCTGCTTTCCCCCTCCCCACCCCCCCCTCCTCCCCCTCCCCCCTCCTCTCCCCTCTCCCTCCCCCCGTGCTGGACCCAATCTGTTGTTGAAATCATGGAGCATTGTTCCATTGTCTTCAGTCATGCCATGCTCCATCCCGGTCCTCATTTCTAATATTCACATCCGCATGAACGTGCACATTCACATGGCATGGCACACACACATCCCCGTCATGTCATGTCTGTCACACCCTCAAACACTTGCTTCTCCACCTGCCAGGCAGCGACTGCTGAAGGACCTGAAGAGTATCAAGAGTCCAGACGATGTCAAGAAGTTTGTGGAGGAGCGTGGCATCGCCCCCAAGTGAGACGAGATCATGACAAGACAGAACAGAGCCCCTTTCACGCTCACACGGACACAGGCTCACAGGACCACAGGCTCACTGAGGGCGGGGAGAGGAGAAGCGGGAGTAGGCGTTCCGGTGCAGCTATGTATGTGTGTGTGTAGAGTGGAATAAAATGGAAGTTTTGAGAGCTGGTGAGGTGTGTTGTGGAGTAGAGAGGTGTGGAGTGGAATGGAGAGGAGTGGAGAGTGGTGGCAAGGCCTGGGGCAGCCACTTGCCTTGCTGTGTTTACTGAGTTGGTGGAATGGAGAGGAGCCACTGCTTGTGGCCCCATCTAGCATCGGCTTGACTCGTGGTGGTATGCAGAGGGGTGATGGGTTAGGGTGCGGTGGAGAGGAGCGGACTGAGCCTTCCAAGGGTGAGAGGATATGAGAGTGTCCTGCTTCTGTTCCTTCACATCCTTATCTTATTTGTGGTTGCTTTCTTGGGTGGTGTTGGTGTCTTGGAGTTTTTGCAACTGGCTTTAACAGCTTGACCTTTAATATGGGAAGTCTCCTAGTTATCTACGTAATGGCACTCAGTGTGTGTTAACTCATGTTGCTGTTGGCTCTTGATATGGAGGTTTCTAGGTCTGTTACTATGCAAGGGTATACGAAATATGACCTGTGATTTTGAGTGCACAACTTCTAATGACTACCGCAACAGCGACTGAATGAAGTGGACAAAAGGAGTGCGTAGCCGTGGTATAACGAGACTAGCTAGGCGGGAACCTCGAAATTCGAGGTTTGGCACAGGTTCGGCTGCGCGGAAACCGAACGCAAACCCTTACGGCCAATCTCCTCCAGCAAAATCCCCCCACCTCCCCTGAAGCTTCGGGAATGCCGTGCTGAGGACAGTCGCATTCGCGCGCACTTGCATGCCGTACCGTACTGCATTTGCCCTGCGCTCCCTGCTCCGCGTGGTGGCGGTGGTGTGGTGGGAGGTGGTGTGGGAGCTGAGCAGGATCACACCTAGTTGCATCACCACAGCTGATAGTGAGCTTGCACGCCACGTGTCGGTGTGAACTCAAACGCGCGCCGCGCAGTATTGATTGCATCGCGTCGTTGGTCTAGTAACGGCAATGAGGCCTTGAGGGGGCTCGTCTTTTGAGTCGACTAAAAACTCGCAATCAGGCCGTGAGCGGGCTCGTCGTAGCAAATTCTGTTCTCGGGTGATCGTCTGGCATAAGAGTTTTCTGTGTCGATCTACGGCGAAGCGAATCAGTGACAGTGAAGCGTCGAGGGACGGTCAATTGAAGCGTGCATGGACGATCTTAAGATAGAACCGGGCTGCGTTCGCTTCCCATGTAAGAGATGAAGCGACTAGAAGAGATCAGAAACGGCAAAAATAATCAGAAAAAAAGGATAAACTGCTTAGTAGAAGCCTTGAAATGCCGCAGAACAACCCATTACTCGCGTCGGCTTCGCTTGGATGAAGCATAGCCACTCAGCACAGCGACCACAAGTCGCATACGCTAGCACATATCGCACTTCCTTCATCATTCGCGTTCATCCCCATTGTCTCTCCTCATGCCGTGTCTCTCCTCATGCCTGATTAAGGAGCTTCGTCTCGCCACCATCTTTGTCTTTCTCGCTTACTCTTAACGCCCAGCATTCGTCTCGTTCCAACAGCCCCCTTCTTCAACTCCCCCCTGCTTCGCCGCACCCCCCCCTACTTTCCCTTTCCCCCACCCCCTTCCCTCCCATTCCTCGCACTTTCTCTTTTTCCCATCCCCCCTCTCCCCCCCCCCCCCCCCCCCCGCCACTTCTTCAACTTTCCCCCTTCCCCTTCCCCTCACCCCCTTCCGACCGACCCCGTCCCAATCCCTTTCCGGTCCGCCAAACCCCGCTCCTGGTCACCCGGCGGTGGTCGCTGGTGGCCCTGACTCCCTGGTGCGGGCAGCAGTCGAGGTGGGGAGGGAGCTGCACGGCTCTCTTTTCTTTCTCACCAACCTCCCCCTCCCCCTTCCCTTTCCCCTTCCGCTCGCTCTTTTTTGGACTGACCTTCTCCCCATCCCTTCCCGGTCCGCCAAACCCCGCTCTTGGTCACCCGGCGGTGGTCGCTGGTGGTCGCTGGTGGTCCCTGGTGGTCCCTGGTGGTCCCTGGTGGTCGCTGGTGGTCGCTGGTGGTCCCTGGTGGTCCCTGGTGGTCGCTGGTGGTCCCTGGTGGTCCCTGGTGGTCCCTGGTTCTCCCTGGTGGTCCCTGGTGGTCCCTGGTGGTCCCTGGTGGTCGCCGGTGGGGCGTGACTCCCTGCCCTGGTGCGGGCAGTCGAGGTGGGGCGGGAGCTACACGGCTCTCTCTTCTTCACCAACCTCTCTGATGCCCCGCGCGTGCTCAAAGTAAGTCAATGCAACGCGTGTGTCACGCACTGCACGCCATGCCGCGTGTGAGTGAGTGAGTGAGTGAGTGAGTGAGTGAGTACACCACGTGTTATGCACACCATGCCACGTGTGAGTGAGTGCACCACGTGTTATGCACACCATGCCTCGTGTTCACAGTGAGTGTACTACGTTTGCCATGTGTTCATCACCACATGCTCAGAGTAACTGTTGCTCAGACTGTCCATGGATTTCACATGATGTTTCGCTCCAACCCCACCCCCTCCTCCCCCCTCCGTCACCCCTTCTTTCTCTCTCTCCCTCCCTCTCTCACTCATCTCTGCAGCTTTCGTGTGTCGCCGCCAACAGGCCGTACAGCATTGTGGATGGGGGCGCCTTTCTATGAGGGAGTGAGTGAGGCGACTCAGAGCATCAGTGGGTTTATCTTTCTTTCTCTCCCTCCTCTCTCGTGTCTTGTCTCCCTCTCTCACTCCTCTCCTCCCCGCAGCTCTCGTTTGCCGCAAACAGGCCGTACGGCATCGTGGATGGGGACACATTTCTGCTACCGCCCAATGCGTTCCAGGAGAAGAAAGGTGAGGGACACTGCGTCGCTGCTGCTGCTGCTGCTGCTGCTGCCGCCGCCGCCGCCGCTGCTGCTGCTGCTGTAGTGGCGATGGTGTTTGCTGTTTAGGGTACGTTCTTGGCCCATGTCAGGCTTGCACTTGCTCGCTGACACAAATCTGTGAGGTGAGGGGTTTGGATTTGAACATCTCAACAGTCATGATGATGTGGGATGATCGAAATCGTTGATACCCTTGTGTCAGCGAGCCTGACATGGGCCAAGAACGTACCCCTTGGAGAAAAAAACAAAGCGTGAAAGGGGGGTGGAGGGGAGATGAGTTAATCATCTTGCTGCTCTGCAGCAGCAATTGTTAGACGAGATCGCAACATGCTTTTTCTTACATTCTCCCCTTAGATACATTGGACACGCTTTTCCCCTTCGAGAAGCAGAGGCTGTGTTTGCGATACTTTGTCGCCTCCCTGTGCTTTCAGCAATGCCAAAATCACTTTTCGGGGAGCACTTTTGGCATCACCAAACAAACACACCACTGCCACAACAGCAGCAACACCAGGAAAGAACACACACACAGAGAAACAACGAGTGTGATTGGTCTCTTTTCCTCTCCTCTCTCTCTCACCGTGCCACAGTCACGTGTGGAGCGTTCGCGAAGCGGCCCTTCTGGTTCCCCACCGACTCGTTCCAGCTGGAGGTGTATGCTGCTGCCACCGTGGGCGAGGTCAGCTCCTCACACATGCACACACACACACACGCACGCACGCATGCACGCACGCATGCACGCATGCACTGCTTGATGCATGGCTTGACACACTTCTCTGCGTTTGGATAAATGCCTGGATTATATCCTGTGACTCCTTTCTCCCATTCTTCACTCATCCCCTCTCCCCTGAGACGCCTAAACCCTAAACCTACCACCTCCTCCAGCTCCTTTAAATGCTTCCTTCGTTTCTTCTCCTTTTTTTTCTCCCTTCTCCCCCTTCGTCTCCTCCACCGCTTCCCACTGCGGCTCCAGGTGGCTAATGGCCTAAACTCTGGGTTGCTGGGGCGCAAGCAGCTGCCAGTGACGTTCCTAGAGACGGGAGCGCAACCCCCCAGCATGCTGCGCTCCCCTTCGGTACGCGCTCTGCTCCGCACCGCACTGCACCACACCGCATCGCACTGCACCGCACCGCCCTCCTCGACAACCTCCCCTCCCCATCCTTCATGCCCCTCTCCTGCTCCCGATCCGACTGCTGGACGACCCTATTCCCGTGCTTCCTCCGTTGCTATTGTGTGTCATGTCAACTCGAGCACCCCGCCCAGCCAACCTGCAACAGATTTTCTACCTTCCCTTACCTCCGCTCTCCGTTCCTCTCCTCCTGTCCCCCTTTCCCTCTCCCTCACCCCATCCCCTCCGCCGCAACCCCTGCTAGACCCATCCCAGGCGGATCATCAGCAGCAGCAGCAGGCACTGGCGTCAACACAGGCAGCGCTGCAGCAGTGCGAGCAGTCGCTGCAGGTGCATCGGGAGGCGCTGGTGCTGCTGACAGGCAAGCTGGACCACCGTGGGGATGAGCACCTCAACCAACCTCTGAGTCTCTGACACATCTACCTTCCCTCCCTCTCCTCCCACCATCCTCATTCCTTTTCTCCCACCTCCTCCATCCATCCCTCTCCCATCCCCCAAACCCTCCGTCCGCCCCTTCACTCCCTCCCTTCCAGCAACCCCCTCTCGACCCATCCCAGGCAGAACAGCAGCAGCAGGCACTGGCGTCAACCCAGGCAGCGCTGCAGCAGTGCGAGCAGTCGCTGCAGGTGCATCGAGAGGCGCTGGTGCTGCTGACAGGCAAGCTGGACCACCGGGGGGATGAGCTGGAGGCTGCCAGAGGGAAGATTCAGCAGCTCGATGATGCCCTTGCCATGGTGGGTTGGGGTGGGGAGACAGGGGAGGGGGGGTTTGGGGGGAGGAGTGTGTTGGGGAGGTGTGGGTTGTGGAGTGGGTGGGGGGATGGTGGAGTGGGTTAGGCTGGTGTGAGTGCATGAGTAGGGGAAGAGTGCTGGTCAGTGAGCGAGTGTGCAGGAGGGCTGTGCAGTGGGTGGGGTGTGGAAGCATGAATGCATGCATGCATGGATCCATGCATGCATGTGGGACTGGTTCCGTCACAGATTCACTTTCATCGCTGTTTTCCTTCTGAAGGTGTCACTATACGCATCTCCCTGTTAATCACATTTTCTTAAACGCATTCTCTCCTCTCCTCAAACTCATGCCCTCCTTAAACTCGTTCTTTCCTGGAAAAAACGCATTCTTTTTTCTGAAGGTGTCCCAATCCTGGCTGTGTTTTCTGTTTTTCGTAAACCCCATGCATTCGTTTGTATGTGCGTATGGGTGTGCGTGTGTGTGTCCGTGCGTGCGTACACATGTGCACGGCCATGGTTCTGAGTGTACGTGCATTGCCATGTGAAAATACGAACATGCATGTCACCATTTGATGTGTGCTGTTCTCTGCGGTGCTCTGTGGTCTGGTCCTCTTCGGTGCTGTGTTCGCTCGTGTTGTTGTCGTCCTTCTATCTGTGTATGTATGCATGCGTGTTGTTGTCGTCCTTCTATCTGTGTATGTATGCATGCGTGTTGTTGTCGTCCTTCTATCTGTGTATGTATGCATGCGTGTTGTTGTCGTCCTTCTATCTGTGTATGTATGCATGCGTGTTGTTGTCGTCCTTCTATCTGTGTATGTATGCATGCGTGTTGTTGTCGTCCTTCTATCTGTGCATGTATGCATGCGTGTTGTTGTCGTCCTTCTATATGTGTATGTATGCATGCGTGTTGTTGTCGTCCTTCTATCTGTGTATGTATGCATGCGTGTTGTTGTCGTCCTTCTATATGTGTATGTATGCATGCGTGCATGCAGGCAGAAAGGCAGCTGGCAAAGCTCCAAAGGGAGGTAAGCCGTTCAGCAAGCGTGCAGGCAGAAAGGGCATGAGCTCTTGGGAGAGGCGAAGGGAAGGGAGCGTGGGGGAAGATTAGAGGGGATTGAGAAAGGAAAGCGCGTGTGGGGGTGGCTGGGATGGGATGCATTCAAGTAGGAAACTCCTGCTAGGAGTTGGCTGAAGAACCAGATGGAACGATTCAGAAACGAGTAGCATGCCGTACAAACCTTTATTGAGTTTCTCAATGAGCAAGCTGTGCAGCCCTGGAGCAATCATTTCCTTGAAACAATATACCACATGCACACAATCTCCCGTTGCCCTCTTCTCCTCGCCTCCTCCCCCCCCCCTCTCTCCACCACCTCCTGCCCCTTTCCCCCCCCCCCCCCTCCCCCACTGTCACCTTTCCCTCCCCCTTTCCATTCTCGCCCTTAGCTTGTGCTTATCTTTCATCTGATTTAAGTTCTGTTTCTTCGACTTTGAACCGTCCATGGAACCCAGAAAAGTGTCCCAGTGTGCTGTTTCGTTTCTTTGCCAGTCTACTCTTCCTGTCACTTCGCATTGTGTTCCCTTCTTTTCGCTCCCCTCACTGTCTCCTTCGCCCCCTTCTCCTTCTCTTGCCCCCATTCCTCTCTCTCCTCCTCGACTTCGCACCCTCCGCCAATCCTTCCCCATTCCTGCCAATATAACTTCTATCTTCGCCTCCCACCCTGCCTCGTCCCTTTTGTTCCTCAACACCCACCCTCTCTGACTCGCTGTCCCATCCCATCCCCCATCCCCCATCCCCTGCACGCACCAGGCAGCCAGTCGCCCCCCCGTCATGCCAGGAAACCTCTCCTCCTCCTCCACCTCCTCCTCCTCCTCCTACTCGGAAGCACGGGAGCTGCAGCGGCTGCAGGGGCTGCTGGAGGCAGCAGAGGAGAGGGCCAAGGACGTGAGTGCTTGCTTGCTCCTTGGAATGCAGTGGGGAACGGTGGCGGTGCATTGGTGGTGCAGGCAGGGTAACTTGGGCAGGTTGCAGGCAGGTTGCAGGCAGGTTGCAGGCAGGTTGCTTGCATACTGGATGTGGTGGCAGTGGAAGCAAGGGCAGATCACATCACAGCCATCATCGCCCAGCCCCAGCCCCAGCCCCAGCCCCAGCCCCAGCCCCAGCCCCATCTGCTTCCCCTCTCGTATCTGCCCTCCAGAGTCTCGTTTTCTGTGGTTTAGAGGCAGGCAGATAGTTATATTGCATGCCACTCACTCCGTCCCACTCCCTCCCTCTGTGCGTGTGTGTGCTCCGCTCCTATCCATTCCTCTTCCTCCTTCTCGGATGGTCCGTGTGATGTGACCCCCTCTGCGCCCTGCAGGCCAACAGTGAGTCACGGCAGCTGTACCTCGAGTGCGAGGGGCTGCGCAGGCAACTGGTCAGTCTCTCAAACTCTCCTCCTCCCTGCGCTGCCCTACCCTGCCCTGCCCCGCCCTACCCTACCCTGCCCCGCCCTGCCCTATACTGCCCCGCCCCACCCCACCCTGCCCCGCCCCGCCCCGCCCCGCCCCGCCCTGCCCTGCCTCGCTTTGCGCGCTTGTCTGCTCCTGCTTCTTTTGATGTTCCGTTTGATTCCTTGACGTGACGCCCTTTATCTCTGCTGTTGCTGGTTCACTTCACACAAGCACAAACGACAGCAAGTATTGGGACAATTCCTGCCCTCCATCTCTCCCTTAGCCTCCCACTCCTTTCCATTTTTCTCCAGCCCTCACTATATCCTCCCTCTCTTCCCCCCCCTCCACTCTCCCTTTTTTCTCCCCTCCTCCCCGCCTCCCCATTCTCCTCCCCTTTCCTCCCACGCCCATCCTCCCTCCCATTACCACCTCCTGCCCACTTGTGTGTGGCACTCTCGTGTATCATGCTCACGGCAGGAGGAGGAGCAGCAGCGCAGCAGCAACGGTCTGCAGGGAGCGCAGCAGGTGGAGGAGAAGCTACTGGAGGCACTCGCAGCAGCAGACAGTGCCAGGCAGCGCCTGGTACGTACCTTTGTGCTCTCTCCACGTGTGTGGGGGGGTTTGGGGAAGAGAGAGGGCGTGGGCGTGGGCGTGGGGGTGGGGTGGGGGTTGCATGCGCAGGTGGGGCTTTTTTCCCCTTATCTCCCCTCTCCCCTCTCCCTTTCTCCCTTCCCCCCCTCCAACCCCCCCACCACCTTTCTCTCGCCCCCGTTGTCTCGCGCCCCTTCTTGTCTCATCCTCTTTCCCAGCCCCTCCTCTCACCTCTTCCCGTCGCCCCACCCCACCAGGCAGCAGCACTGCAAGACAACGTGCTGCTGGAGGAAGCAAAAGTGCGCGCGGAGGAGAGAGAGAGAGAGAGAGAGAGAGCGAACCTGCACGTCCCCACTTCCCTTCCCCTCCCTCCCAAACCCTTCCCCACTTCCAGGCAGCAGCACTGCAGGACAACGTACTGCTGGAGAAGGAGAGCGGAGAGGAGAGGGAGCGGGCGAGCCTGCACAAGCAGATGCCCTCTGATCTGATTCAAATCACAAGTCGCTCCGTGTATCCTTTTCCCACTGCTTTGCTTCCCCCTTCCCTCCACCCCTTCCCCCTCCTCCCCCCCCACCTCCCACCACCTCCCCTCCATCCCCATCTCTGCCGCACACCCTGTCCCCCATATCTCCACCTTCCCTCCCCGTTCCCCCATCCCCAGGCAGCAGCACTGCAGGACAATGCATTGCTGGAGGAGGCAAAGGTGCGCGCAGAGAGGGAGAGGGCGAGTGTGCACATGCAGATGCGGGCTCTGAGGGCGGAGAAGGTGGAGGTGGAGGGGCAGGTGGGGCGCCTGCAGCGCACCATGGATAAGCTCCGCCTCTCGCAAGTTCCCCGCCTGCGACTCATTGCCGACGTGAGATTGGTTGGGGAAGGTGGGAAGGGGGAGAAGGGGAGATGGAGAGAGGCGGTGGAGAGAGATGGGGAAGGGGAGGGGGAAGGAGAGAGGGGATTAGATGCTGGCGTGTGGTGTGAGGAATGAGGGTTGGTGATGCTGGTGTGGTGGTGAGGGCGGAGAAGGTGGAGGTGGAAGGATAGGTGGGGCGCCTGCAGCGCACCATGGATAAGCTCCGCCTGTCGCAAGTGCCCCGCTTGCGCCTCATTGCAGACGTGAGTTGGGGAAGGGAGGGGAGGGAGGAGGAGAGAGGGAGAGGAAGAGCGGGGAGGGGAAATGGAAAGAGGTGGGGGAAGAAGAGGGGAGATTTGATGCTGGAATGTGGCGTGAGAGGAATGAGGGTTGGGCTGGGTGGTTATGGTGTTGCAGTGAAGGTGGAGGTGGAAGGGCAGGTATATTTGTATGACTTTTGAGAATTCTCAAAAGTGGTGCGCCTGTAACGCACTCTGGATAAACTCCCGCTCTCACAAGTGCCCATCTTGCGCCTCATTGCTGATGTGAGATTGGAGGAGGGGGGGGGGAAGTGGGAGAGGGGGAGAGGAGGAAAAAAGGGAGAGCGGTGGGGAAGAACAGGGAGAGAGGGAGGGGGAAGAACTGGGGTAGGGAGACGGAGAGAGCGAGGCAAGGGGAAGCGGAAGTAGGGAGGGGCCTTTGAGGTAATGCTTTGTATTTGCTAGGTGCGCTGTGCGGCTGCGTGGAGTGGGAACAAGGGGCGTCTGACATGGAAAATGGGGAATGAGTACTGGTGATGCAGGCGCTATGGTCTCAGTGCTGCTACACTCTTCCCTTCCTTGCCCCCCCTTTCTTCCCCGCCCCCACCCCCCACCCCCGAATCTCCAACCCCCTGCACCCTCCGTTTCCTCCCCCGATGTGAGACAGCTGGCAGCGACGCGCATGAAGGGGGAGCGGCTGGAAGAAGAGAAGGCGCAACTGCTGCAGCACATGCAGGAGATGGAGGAGGATCTGCGCCGCACTGCCCGCACACAGACGGTGAGCCGACAGAGGGAAAAGAAGAGAGAGTGGGGCGACTGGTGGGTGGGGAGGCATGGTGGGTGACGTGAGGGTGGGTTGGCAACTTGGCGTGCTGGGGGGTGTTGCATTGCAGCATATGCAGGAGATGGAGGAGGATCTGCGCCGCACTGCCCGCGGACAGGCGGTGAGGGGGGGGAGAGAGAGGGACGAATGGTGGGTGGCGGGGTATGGTGGGTGGAGTGAGGGGTGGCGTGCTTGCTGGGGGGTGTTGTAGCACATGCAGGAGGTGGAGGAGGAGCTGGGATACACTGCCCGCACACAGACGGTGAGCAATGGAGAAAGTAAAATGGGGAGAGAAGATTGGGGCTGGGGTGGACCGGGCGGTTGCTTTCGAAAAAGCGAGTTATGTGAAAGGGGGTGTTATATTTTTGTATGTTTAAACTGAAACCCTTCAAGGAAGAATGATTCAAGTGTCAAGGAGGACGTTATGAGACAGCGTGTGTTTTTTTAGAATTCTCAAAAAACACACGGTGAAAGGTGTATATGAATGGAGATTTAGGGGCGGTTAATCACTTTCTTGCTCCCGCGTTCTCTTCATCTTTGTCTTCTCGCCCCTTGAACGTACCGACCTCCACTCATCACCCCCTGTGTTCATGCATACACCAACAGGGCGATTGCAGCGAGACTTCATCACTGTCTGGTGTTGAGAGTGTAGGAGGAGGGACAGAGGGAGGGATGGAGGAGGAGGCAGGGGCAGCAGCCTCCTCCTCCACAGTGACTATCCTGGAGCAACAGCGGCAGCTAATGGATTTGGAGCAACGGCTGAGAGAGGAGGAGGAGAGATGCAGGGAGCTGCAGGAGAGAGTGAGGGAGGCTGAGGAGAGAGTGAGGGAGGCAGATGAGAGAGTGAGGGAGAGCGAGAAGAAGGCACAGGAGGTGGAGGAGAGGGAGGTAGAGGTGGTGGAGTGGGAGAAAGATCTGGAGACGAAGGAGAAGCAGCTGGCAGCAAGAGAGGCTATGCTTAAGAGCGGCAGTGTGGCGAGCAGCATTGGGAGCAGGAGGGGAGAGGAGGGTTGGGAGGTGGTGGGAGGATTCAGTGGCTCGCAATTCGACCAGCAGGTCAGTTCCGTTTTGCTTGTGTGCGTCCCGTTTGGCCGTAAGCATCCATCATCCCTTCATGCGTCGCATCATCTTTCGTACACACACCAACCAACATCACCAGCACGAGTATTAGCAGTGAGCCACAACACAAAGTCACGCAGTGCTGCTGATACACGAGTAGTATTGCGCTGTGCAACGAGTAGTATTGCGCTGTGCATTGCTCCCTCACTTCCTCCCTGAGGCCTCCACACGCAACGCAATGTCCTTCGCACATGCAGCATCATCACCTATAACGTGCTGTCCCTCCGCTCCCCCTCTCCCCACGTACCCCCTTCCTCCTCATTCGCTCACACACCAAACATCGGGAATCATCAGCACGAGCAGGAGAGAGGCACGAGCGCATGGGCTCAGGATGACCGCTTGAAAGAGCAGGAGGAGCGCGTGAAGGAGCAGGAGGGCGCGATACTGGACCTGCTGGGGAAGGTGCAGGAGCAGCAGCAGCGGATCACGGCTCTGCAGGAGCAGCTGCAGCAGCAGGAGCAGCGGGTTACGGAGCTGGAGGAGGAAAGGGGGGAGCTGGAGCAGCAGCTCGATGCCAGCAGGGCTGCTGTGGTTCAGGCGGAGGAGAGAGTCCAGGCTGCCACTGCCGCTGCTGCTGCTGCTGCAACAGCTGCGACGGGTGGCCTGAGTGTAGCAGATGGCAATGCCAATGGTGCTGATGCTGATGCTGGTGCTGATGATGAGGTGAGAGAGGAGGAGGAGGGGGGGGGGGGGGGGGGGGGGGGTTGCTGAAAGGTAGGGTGAGATGAGTATTTGGCATGTGGCGTTGATGCTGGCAGGCAGCACGTGCCATGTGGAGTGGAGGAGTAAACGATGCTGTCACACAGCTCGTCACCACGGCACATTCCTTCCCTGCAGAGTTCCTCACCCCTCACCCCTCGCCCCGCTCTCCCCTGAGTCCATCCTCTCTCTCGGACATACTGCCATCCCTAGCATTGCCAATCGCCATCACTACCACCGTCACTATCACATTCATTATCAGAGTCAGGATCACCATCGTTCTCCCTGTCACTACCACCGTTCCATCATCATCTCCCGCACCATCCTGACAACATGAGCAGGTGCAGCGGTTGCGGCAGCAGGTGCAGGAGCAGAGGCGGCAGCTGCAGGAGAACGAGGAGTCGTTTGAGCGGTGGGAGAGGAGCTACGATGAGGTGCGTGCGAGCGAGAGAATGTAGCAGGTGCTGTGTTGCTTATTTTTTTTTTTTTTTTGGGCTTTAAGGAGATCCCCGGAGGAAACCAACCCCCCGTAGGGAGAAGGCGCTTCGGTAAGCAGCATTATACCGGCTGTGCATTTAGTTGCTAAAACCCCCATCGATCACCAGAAGCGCGTGCCCCATTTCGGGGACAGCCGTACCCGGATGGGCGTTGGCTTCAGAGGGGAAGGTAACACGTAACCCCCACAGTCGGCTCTGGTGCCGGGGCATGTACCACGTGCAAGTGTTGCTGCCGTTCAGCTTTGCAAGTGTGCCACGTGCAAGCAAGCATGACACGTTCTGGTGCTGCAAGGGAATCTGGAGAGAGGGTTGTTAGGGACTCGCGAGAAGGCTTACCATGCTTTCTTCGCTGACCTTCTGAATCTGGGTCAGAATCTGTGTCTGATCAGAGTTACTACAGTCTCAAATCTGCCCACTAGCATCTCTCTCTCTCCTCACATCTCTGATGCCCATTGCTCTCGTCTCTCCATCCCCCATAACGACCGCTTGTTCCACACTGGTAGCTCTATGCGCCTGGCTTCTCTTGCCACTACTCTCGCCCCATGACCTGTCCCCGCCCCATCTCTCCCGTGTGTGTGTGTGTGTGCGGTGCATTGCATGGCACAGAGTGAGAAGCAGGTGGAGTCATTGAAGCGCAACCTGGAGCGCATGGTGGCAGACGCAGACGACTTCAAGGCACGCATGCAGCAAGAGGTGCGCCGTGCGTGCGCTGCATGCACTGCACAGTCGGCCCACTGTTCGAATCCTCATCTGATTGATAATGTCTCGCCCAGTGCAAGCAAGTCCGCAACATTCTGCAATCGTTCTGTGTGTGTGGAACGAAATACTCTGCCATGGCCTGAAATATTTGGCTTGTCTTCTGCCAATGGTGTGTTTGTGTGTGCGTGTGGGTGGCATGATGGGGGAATGGAATCCATGTGGCATGGCAGGCGCAGAGCAGTGTGGACGAGCTGCAGAGGCAGTTGTTGGAGGCCGAGGAAGCAAGGCAGAAGGCGAGACAGGAACTGGTACGTGAAAGCTTGACTTATCTCAAATCTCAGAGGAGCATGATGGACTTTAAAGCCAAGGAACAGCGAGGGAGGGCAGGGAAGATCGAGGGAGGGAATGATGCACTGTAAAGGAAGGAACTCAGAACGTTCTGAAGGGTGTGGTTCAAAGAAAGTGAATTGGAGAGGCAGCTATCTCCTGTCAAGAATGGTGCCCCTGTCGTCTCTTTCTGCCGCTCCACCTCTCGCTATCGCCTCTCTCTCCCCTCGCTCTCTCCCCCTCTTCCTCCCCATCTTCCCCCCTCTCGTGCGTCCATCAGGACGAGGCGAACCAGCGAGTGGAGCAGCTGCAGCGGCAAGGGGAGCAGGCGGAACAGTTGGAAGCAGAGCTAGAGGTGCTGAGGGGGAGAAGCAGCTATGATGAGAACGTCACAGACTTATCTGTCTCTCCCTCTCCCATCTCTCCTTCCGCCATCAGGATGAGGCGAACCAGCGAGTGGAGCAGCTGCAGGCGCAAGGAGAGCAGGCGGAGCAGCAAGGGGCAGAGCTAGAGGCGCTGAGGGGGAGAAGCAGCTATGATGAGAACAATGTCACAGACTTATCTGTCTCTCCCTCTCCCATCTCTCCTTCCGCCATCAGGACGAGGCGAACCAGCGAGTGGAGCAGATGCAGGCGCAAGGAGAGCAGGCGGAGCAGCTAGAAGCAGAGCTAGAGGCGCTGAGGGGGAGAGTGCGCGCAGCAGAGGAGGAGGCGGAGCGGGCGAGGGAGAGGGAGGAGGGGTTGAGGGCGGAGGTGGAGGTCAGGGAGGAGGACGTGCGGGTGCTGCAGGCGACAGTGGAAGAGAAGCGCGAGGAAGTTGAGCAGGTGGGGGACGGGACGGGACGGGACGGGACCTCTTTATAATGTTTGAAATATCCCTGAAGAACAGGGATGGGGGACGAGGGAGATGGGAGGAGGGAGGGAGGGTTCGTAGGTTGGGTGTGTGGGGAGGGAGGGGCTGGTGAGGTGGGGGAAATGGTGGTTGGGATTCTGCAAGAGGGGTGAGGGAGGCTGGCGGGACCTGGGAAGGGAGGGCTCCGTTTTGGTTGTGAGGGACGGGCGGGGACGGGGAAGGATGCATGCATGCAGTGCCAAATTTCTTCCGATCCAATGTTCCGTTTCATTTGTTGCATTAACAGAGTCTTTTCTGACGGAAGCAGTAGCAGTGTCCGTTATGCTGCACTCTGCAGCAGCAGGTGCAGAAACAGCAGCAGCACGTCTTATCCAACTCCCCTCCTCCCCACCCTCCCCACTCATCCACCTCTTTTCTTCCCCAGCTGTACTACGCAGCAGCAGTGCGTGCAGGAGAAGGCAGCAGCGGTAGAGTACCTTTTTGTCAATCGGCTTTCGGAGCATCTTATCATCCAACAACCTCCCTCCAAACCCCCCTCCTCCACCCACCCCCCCATCCCTCCCCTTACACTCCCTCTCTTCCCCTCCCATCCCCTCCCCTCCCCACCCTCCCCTCTGCTCCCCTGATCTCTGCTCCTCTCCCCTCTGCCCCCCTCCCCTCCCCTCCCTGTACAGGCAGAAGCAGCACGTGCCATGCTGGCAGGGCTGCAGCAGAGCGTGCAGGAGAAGGCAGCAGCGGTGGAGAACCTGGAGGCTGCTCTGCGCCGCACTGAAGCGGACTTCCATGAGGTGGGGGGGGGGGAAGGGGGAGGGCGGGAGGGTAAAGGGGATTACACTAAGACCCTGTGGCTGTTCTGCACTGCAAACGTTTCCGAGGCGCCTCAAAGGCTGCAGCGGTGGAGAACCTGGAGGCTGATCTGTGCCGCACTGAAGCGGACTTCCATGAGGTGACGGGTGGGGGGAGGGGCGAGGGAGAGTGGAGAAGGTGAGTGGAAGAGGTGGCAAGAGGGAGCAGCAGTGGAGAACCTAGAGGCTGATCTGTGCCGCACTGAAGAGGACTTCCATGAGGTGGGGGGGGCGGAGGGGAGAGGGTGGGGGGAGGGGGATGGGGAGGGGAAAGGGGGAGGGGGAGAGGATTAAAGGGGAGGAGAGGAGAGAGGGAGGTGAGGGGCGGGAGAGATGGTCGGGAGAGTGTGAGGGGATGAGTTGATGAGAGCAGGGAAGTGGTGGGTGTGTGTGTGTGACGTGAAACTTTCGAAACTTGATTGAGGGATGGTACGAAGGGAATGGAAAGGCTGTGCGAAAGTGGTAATGGGAGTTCTTACGTGTGGAGTAGAAGAGAGATGGTGTGAAACTTGAGTGATGGTGAATTGTGGTAGAAGAGTAGAGAGGTGATGATGGGCAGGGACCAAGGCAGGATTGAGGATTGGCGATTTTGAGTCGACTCAAAAATCGCCTCATCACACGAGGTGATGGGCATGGACCCAGGATTGAGAATTGGGAGTTAACAATACTGGGGTTTAATACGGTGCGTCCCTGTCTGTCTTGTTCTGGATATTTTAGCCCACTGGGGTCGTATCGCACCGCACTCCCACACTGACCTGCATTGCTTGCTCTGAGTGATGGAATTGTGTTGTTGTTGCATGAATTGACTTGCATTGAAACTGGTATGCCTTACTTCGCATGCAGAGTGAGAAGATGTGTGACTATCTCAAGACCAGGCTCGCCACAGTGCAGGGGGACCTGCAGGCACAAGTGCTGGTATGCCTACTCTGCTCCTCCTTCCTGTCACTGTGTCTGCTACCGTAGTCCCTGCTATGCTACTGCTTCTGCTACTGAACATGGGCAAGCCCATGTCCAGACATTTCTCAGTGAGCTGCATGCGTGTAGTAGGCTAGGCTTAAGCAATCTCGTCAGCCAGAGCAAGCCCATGACAGCCCTGAGTGCCAATCCAAGGCTCAAGGGCATGCTTCATTCATGCACTTGCACTGCACTGCACTGGATGTCATGTCATGTCATGTCATGTCATGTCATGTCATGTCATGTCATGTCATGTCAGTGCAGTGCACTCACCATGCACTATCATGTTCCAAATCCATCCCACGTACTCTCCCCTCCTCTTTCTCCTCTCCGGTTTCTCTTCTCTCCTCTCTATCACTCCCCTTCCGCCCCCACTAAAATTTCTCGCCCCGCCCCGCCCCGCCCCGCCCCGCCCCGCCCCGCCCCGCCTCGCCCCACCTCACCTCGCCCCACCTCGCCTCGCCTCGCCTCTCCTCGCCTCTCGGCACGGCACATGGTATGACAGGCGTCCGCGGACCATGCAGTCTCTGACGGCTCTGCCATGCTGCAGCAGCAGATCGACTCGCTCCGAGCCGCACTGGTGAGAAGAAGGCGGATCTTGCTGCTGCCATGCCTTGTGAATCAACACAACCAACCACACGCCTTTGATTCTTCGACTGTAACGCTAGCAGATCCAAGTCAGTCCCTCCCTCACCCCTTCCCTTTCCCCTTTTCTCTCCCTCCCTCGTTAGACGCAAAGGCATGCTCCTCCCCCACCCACCCCAACAGCACCCGACCCTGTCACTTTCTCCCCTTTCTCCATGCTCCTGCTGTAGCTCGCACTCTCAATCTCTCCATCCCCCTCCCTCTGCCCTCCCCTCTCAATATCTCTCCCGTCCCCTACTCATTCCCATCCCTTTTCTCTTCCTCTTCCGCCCCCACCCTCATCGCTCTCCCTCTTCTCTCCCTCCCTCCCCCCCCCCCCCTCTTCCCCCTCGTCTCTCCCCTCTTCCCCCTCGTCGCCATCACATGACCGCAAGGATGCAGAGCTGGATGACGCGAGCGTGCGGCTGGCAGCAGTGGAGAGACGGACGGCTGGAGGAATCATAAGTTGGCTCAAAAGTCCTCCCTTCTTCTCCTACTCTCTTTCTCCCCACCCTCCTTCTTCTCCTCTCTTCCTCCCCACCCTTCTTCTCCTCCTCTCCTCCTCCCCACCCTCCCCATTGCCATGACAGGACCGCAAGGGCGCAGAGCTGGACGAGGCGAGTGAGCGGCTGGCATGTGAAGCGAGAGCTGGATGAATCATCTGTGGGCTGAAAACTCCCCTCTCTTCCTTCCACCTCCTCCTCCCCATGGCCGTGGCAGGACCGCAAGGATGCAGAGCTGGACGAGGCGAGTGAGCGGCTGGCAGCAGCGGAGAGGCAGCTGGAGGATGCCCGGGAGGTGGCTCGCAGAGAGACAGAGCAGCGCGAACTGGTGAGGGGGAAACAGAGAGTGGGGGTGCTGTGTGACTGGTAGCTGGTGTGATCGTTCTGTGGGAATGAGGGAAGAAGGGAATGGCTGGCTGGCAGCAGCGGAGAGGTAGTTGGAGGATGCCCGGGAGGTGGCCCACCGCGAGACAGAGCAGCGCGAACTGGTGGGGGGAAAAGGAGAGGAGGGTTTGGATGAGTAGGGGAGGGATAAGGGGGGAAACGTGTGCAATTGCATGGGCTGTTAAGCGGGTGTGTGGGGGAGGAAGGAGGGGTTGAGTGCAGGTAGGGGCTGTAAGGGAATGAGGGATTGTGGTGTTGCAGAATTCTGGTAGGTTAGTGAATGAGGAATTCTGGTAGGTTAGTGAATGAGGGAATTTGGGGCTGCAAGCAAGAGCTGTCTCTCTGTGGTCTGAGTTTAGGTTAGGCGGACCTTATCCCACCCCTTTGAGGCGCCCCAAAACCCTCAAAAGTCGTCACAGAGTCCAAGCCGACCTTATCCCACCTTTTTTGAACCGCCCTCGCCTTCCAAACCCCCCTCCCCCTCTTGCACCCTCCCTGTTTCCTGCTCTCCTGCTCTCCCCGTGCATATTCTAGTGCTGGATAGGAGCTCTTCACCCGGCTCAAAGGCCTTATCACTACCTCATCCCTCCCTCGCCCACTACCCTGCTTCCCTCCTCCCCCCCACCCCCTCCCCCACCGTCCGCCATCCCTCCCCACCAGCACGCGGAGGAGGTAGCACGCGCGCGGTTGCACATAGCAGTGGTGGAGCGGGAGAAGAAGGAGCTGAGGGCAGATTACCCAATCCAGCCGGCTGTCCCTCCACTCCTGCCCGTTGTCGCCCCCCACTCCCCCCTCCCCTGCGCCCCCTCGTCCCCCCATCCCTCCCCACCAGCACGCGGAGGAGGTGGCGCGCGCACGGCTGCACATAGCGGTGGTGGAGCGGGAGAAGAAGGAGCTGGAGGGGCGAAGTCGCCAAAACCCACCGTTTCCCCCACACTTCATCTCTCTTCCCTCCCCCCAACCCTCCCCACCAGCATGGGGAGGAGGTGGCGCGCGCACGGCTGCACATAGCGGTGGTGGAGCGGGAGAAGAAGGAGCTGGAGGGGCTGAGAGCAGCATCGGGGCCGGAGATGCTGGGCGTGCAGCGGGAGAAGGAGGAGGCGGAGGAGCGGGTGAGGGAGATGGAGGGGGTGGTCATGCAGCTCAAGACGCGCGAGAGGGAGGTGCGTGATGCGGGTGCGGTGGACAGGTGCTTGTCGCTTGCTCGTTGTTTGCTTCTTGAGGCGCATCCACTATTGCACTTTGGTCTGGTTTTGTGGGCCAAGAGCAAGAGGAGCGAGTGAGGGAGATAGAGGGAGTGGTCATGCAGCTCAAGATACGCAAGAGGGAGGTGGGTGCTCTGGAGGGGGTGCTTGCTGTGTGCTCGTTGTTTGTTTCTTGATGCGCATCAGTGATTGCATGCTGTCTGGGTTCAAGAGCAAGAGGAGCGAGTGAGGGAGATGGAGGGAGTGGTCATGCAGCTCAAGACACGTGAGAGGGAGGTGGGTGATGCGGGTGCGGTGGACAGGTGCTTGTTGCTTGCTCGTTGTTTGCTTCTTGAGGCGCATCCATTATTGCACTTTGGTCTGGTTTTGTGGGCCAAGAGCAAGAGGAGCGAGTGAGGGAGATGGAGGGGGTGGTCATGCAGCTCAAGACGCGCGAGAGGGAGGTGGGTGATGTGGTGTGGCAGGTGAGTGCGGCGGAGCCTGTTGTTGTGGTGCCTCAAAAGTGGCATGGCAGAGGTGCATGCATGCAGTGGAGCAGGTGGGTGGTTTGGTTTGGAAGATGCTTGCTATCTGCCATGGCGTGGGTCGTTTCTCGAGGCTTATCAGTAATCACGTGTTGACCTGGCCTGGCCTGGCCTGGCCTGGCCTTGTGTGGTCCCGCAACTGCCTCTAGAAGAGAAGCCACACACGACACATGGAACTCACCTGTTCAACAGTGTCTGGGTTGTGGCTCAGGTCGGCAAGTCTTACCTTAGCACCTAGTGGCAGGGTTCGGTGGAGTTTTATCTTCACGGCTGGATGGGTGGTGTGTATGTCCTGCTTTTAATACCGGCTGTCACTCACTCACTCAGTCACTCACTCACTCACCCACCCACCCACCCACCCACCCACCCACCCAGCCGAAATCCTCGCTGCATTTCGGAGGATCCTCAAGATTTTCGCCAATAGTCGTGTATTGAGTCGACTCAAAACATACGACTCATGTAGGAGGATCCTCGAAAGTGTTCTCCGCCACACAAAGACTCTGTTCTCGATATATATCTGTCCTCTGTGTTTTGAGTCGACTCAAAACACACCTGGACACAAAGACTCTGTTCTCAATATATATCTGTCCTCTGTTTTCATCAGTCAGCGAACATAGGCTTTGTCTGCAACATAAGCCTTCCTCCAGTCTGGGACCGGGTGGGCCTCAGTCTTTTCTCGCGTGCCTCACCCAACTCCTCCTTTTCCTCTAACGACCTTCACGGCCACTGGACAACCTACTATTTGCTCGCTCGCCGTCACAGCCACTTTTGAGTCGACTCAAAAGTCACCTCGCTTGCCTCACTCGAGTTCTTCTTTTCCTCTAACAACCTTCATGGCCACTGGACAACCTACTACCTGCTCGCCATCACAGCCACCACTGCAACCTAATATGCACTCCTTCCCTCTCCTCTCCCCTCCTCTCCTCTCCTCTCCCTCTCCTCTCCTCTCCTCTCCTCTCCCCTCCTCTCCTCTCCTCTCCTCTCCTCTCCCCTCCTCTCCTCTCCTCTCCTCTCCTCTCCTCTCCTCTCCTCTCCTCTCCTCTCCTCTCCTCTCCTCTCCTCTCCTCTCCTCTCCTCTCCCATCTTCCCACCCCCCCCTCCCGTCTCCTCCCTAACCTCCCTGACCCATGCGAACCAGATGCAAGGCGCCATCCTGTGAGGCCATGTCTTTTGAGGCACCTCAAAAACTCCCCCCCTTCCGCCCCTCTCTCTCATCCCTCCTGCCCTCCCTGTCCCGTGATTACCAGCTGCAAGGCGCCATCCAGTCAGGCCACGTTCAGTACCAGACCCTGCAATCCACACTCTCAGCCAACATCGTAAGTCACCCCCTGCACCCCATGCCTCGTGGGGATCTTTTTAGAATTCTCAGAATATCCCTGCGCACTTTCAGCCAACATCGTAAGTCACCCCCTCCACCCCATGCCTCGTGAGTCCACTCAATCATCGTTCAGTACCAGACCCTGCAATCCACACTCTCAGCCAACATTGTAAGGCCCTCTCTGCACCCCATGCCTCATGGTTCCTCCATCCCTGCATTATAGCCCTCATGCGCTCCTTTGATGGTACGTCCTATCTTCAGCCACTCAGCATCGTCGCATAGTGCATCAGTGTTACCCCACGCTCACCTGTACAACTTCAACCAAACGCCATCCCACCCTTTTCAGTCTCTTCCCTCCTTTTTCCCTTGCCATCTCCTGCTCGCTTCCACTTTCTCCCACTCAGTTTCCCTCTTCCCTTCTCCCCCCTGTCTCTCCCTCGTCATCCCTCGTCTGCCGGCGCGTCAAACGTCTCCCATCCCATCTTGTGCAATCTTCACTGACCACCCCTCCGCCCCTTACCAGACGGAGCTATCAGCAGTGAACGAGCAGCTGCGACAGCAGGCAGAGACTCTCCTCTCCGAAATCAGTGCACTGGAAGACGCCATTCGCCAGGTGGAGGCCATGGACCAGCGCCGCCCGCACCACCGCGTGCGCCTGCTGCGGCAGCAGCGCGGCTTTGTGTGCTCTGCGTGCCATGTGCCGGGGTCAGGGTTGTCGTGGCGCTGCGTCACGCCCAGGTGCCCGGACAGCTTCCATCTGCAGTGCCTGGTGGGGCAGAGAAACTAGACCCATTCAATATCTTCAAGGGTACATTCATTCGCAGAAATCAGGGAGGGAGCCACGTACTAATCATACGTAACATGAAGTGTCAACATGCTGGCATTGGTAACAGACTGGTGAATGTACTGTAACAGTAACACCAGTTACGGAAATGGTTGGCCCACATTCATCCAACCTAGGTACCGCATTTGTGCCGATAAGGTTTCCATATGTAGAACTGGTTCGTAGAGTAGTACCCTACCAGTATGTAGTGCATCTTTCACACTATGATATGGCACAAGTACTGGTAGTAGAATGGGTGAACCAGAAATTCGGTTTGGCTTGCCAACACTCACAGCAAGGCAATGCTTCAGAAAGAATATATGCGGGCAAAATAGAATCAGCTTTGGCAGAAAATCAACTTAAGGTTGCACAATATATGGTTGGTACACGAATGTACATTTGTATGGTGTATGGGCCAGCTTAAGTAGGTATGGCATGATAGTACAACTACCAGTATAGTCCCCAACTGGTACTACCTCTGCAGGAAAACAGTAGGAAGAAAAGCAGTAGAGAAGAAAACAGGAAAAGGAAGCAAAGCAACCACCACTCAGATTCAAGCTAGGAGAAGGTCGGAACCTATCTGTTGCTGGTCTAATTGAAGCCTGCAGGGCGCTGAGTGCAGGGGCGCAGCAGTTGCCTCTCCTGCCACTCCTCCTACTGCTCCTCCTGCTGCTGCTGCTGCTCCTGCCTTATCTGCCAGCACGGAAGCCGGCTGACACGAAAGGTACAGGCCTGTACAGTCCTCACCACTCTCATCCAGCACCAGTTCCACACCCGTGACCGTTGCCCCCACCGAATCAAGATACCACACAGCAACACCCACGTCGCCACCAGCAGCAGCAGCAGCAGCAGCAGCAGCAGAGCCGCTCCTCTCGCCTTCGGCATTATCCTCCTTGCCTCCCATGCTGCGGAAGTTAACACGCACTCTGGCGCTCTTGTCACTCACTCCTGCACGAAACAACCTCTGGTTCCTGCCGGGGAGCAGGTTCCCAGAATCTTCTCCACGAGCTCCATCTAAAGATTCTTTCGACGGATCATCCGAATTTCCCACGCCTGCTGCGTGGGCCCCTGCGGAAAAAAGGCTGGGACCCAGGAAGGTGCCGCTACCAACTGGTGAGCTGACAGATGAAGCGGGAAGGCTCGTGCTGCTAGTATGAGTCCCCATGGCAACAATCAGCCTCTCCGCTGCAGTAGACACGCCACTCAGCTCCCCAGGATTAGACGATGCAGCGCGGCACAGGGTCACCCGGAGCGGAGACCCCGTGCGGGACGCTGAAGCACCTGACGCGCCTAGCGCGAGCCGTCTTCGGCTGGTGAGAGGGGATGGCGAGAGGGGTGTGGGGGAAGAGCTCCTTCCGGAGAGCCCACTGTTTCTCCCACTGCCACTGCCATTGCCGTTGCTATTGCCATTGCCATTGTTAATGGGACTGCCGCTGCGTTCTACAGCACTGGACGTTGGGCTGCCGCCTCTGCCGCGCCCGCTCAGGCCCGTCAGCTTCCGCGCCAGCTGCAACGGCCCGCTGAACGACAGCTTGCTCGCCCCCGCCGCCGCCGCCTCCGCCGACGCCGCCGCAGCCGCAGCTGCAGCCGCTCCGCCTGCCGCGCGCGCGAGGAGGTCGGGGCTGGCGGGCGCGTGGAGCGCGGGAGTGGTGCGGGAGTCGGGGGTGCTGCAAGTGCGCGTGATGTGCGTGCCCCATCCCGCGGGGGTTGCCTTGAGAACCGATCCCGAGTTTGTAGAGGCTCCTGCCTCGTTGCGATTGATGCTGCGAAGGGGACCGCTCCCGCCGCTGCTGCTGCCGCTGCTGCTGGTGCTGGTGCTTCTGCTGGCGACATTGCCGATGCTGCCTGCGCTGCTGGGCCTGGTACTGCTGCCGCTGCTGCCGGTGCTGCCGGTGCTGCTGGTGCTGGAGCGGCTAGATTCACCCTCGCCATCACCACCACAAACCACAACATCGCTCGCACCGTCCGGCGCTTTTAACACCGCCGTTGCCGCCGCAGCAGTCGCAGTGCCGGAAACCACGTACACAACGTCTCGCTCATCATCCTTCCCACCCTCGAGATCCGATCCGGAATCGTCGTCCGCGCTCGCCGCCACGACGATATCGAGCATCGTGATGCGCTCCTCGGGCGACCAACGGTCCAGATGATCGCACAGCTGCTCCACCTCCTCCCAGTTCTCGCACGTGGGGTCGGAGCGCGATCCGTGCAGCGTATCCGCCACGATGTCACGCACGTCGCCCTCGCTGTACCCCGCGCCGCCCAACCACGCGCTGAAGTCCTCCCCCGAGCCGCCGCCGCCGCCGCGCCGTGATGACTTGACCGCCGCCGCCGCCATTGTTGTTATATTGTGCGGAAAAAAGCAACCGAAGATCAGCAGTGGCGGTACTGGTAAGCAGCATCAACCGCTTCCGCTGCTTCGCAGGAAGTAAATAGAAGTGGCCGCAAGCTTAGTACTCTTAGCAACCGCGGGTGCTTAGAAAGCTTGGCGCGCTGAGAGAAATCAACCGGGTGGGGGGGCTTCTTTTTCCCCGCACTCTACGGCGAGTATCACTAATAAAGCTGCGGGTGGTGCTCGTAGTGGCAGCAGCAGCTGCTGCGAGCTGGGAGTCTTTGCGAAGAACTTAGCTCGAAGCTTTTTGCGACAAGAGATCTTAGAGAAAAGCAAGTTATGCAGGAATGGTCGTAAAGCTCGCGGTTCTTGTACTACATGATCATGCGCGCAAATTGGTAGGTTCCCCCCCCCCCTTCTCCTAGTACCAAGAACTGGCCCATTCGGAGCGGAGGAGAAGAAGCCATCCGAGGCCATCGCGAGGGGGCCAGTCCGAGCCGAGGGCCCACTACTGTACGTCGAGCTTCACCGTGTCGTGCCGTGCCGCGAGCCATGCACCGTGCTAGTGGGGTCACCATGGTGGTCTGTGCGGGTGGGTGGTACTAGATTCTCCTTTCCGACTAACGATGCCGCCCCAGTCAGTTTCCGTCGGGCTGCCTCCTGCCACTGACTGACTCCGTCGGTCAGCCCCCCTGGCGTGAAGGTGCGAGCTTGCCGCCGCAATCGCGAGTAAGGCAGCGGATATTGTGTTGTACTGCGTGCATTCAGCCCCTAAGACCGAGTCGCGCCGTGTTCTTCGTACGGGCTCATGTCGTAGGTACAGTAACACCGTATCGTATCAAATCGTAACGCTTGGAAGACCTCGTTGTCACTGTGCGGCTCCTCACTTGAAACCAACAAAAAAAGGACTTCTCTAGGCTCAGCGCCGGGGCGCCTTTCGAGTCGCCTGCAGCACTGTACTGCCTTTGCCGAGAGTTGGGAATCATCATCGTGGGGCATCAATGTGCTTCACTGAACTACACTACAGTACTGTACCAGCCCTGCTACAGAACATAGCGGTTACGTACCCTCAGACTCCTCCCTCACACTCCCACGCCACTCCTCCGGCAACTTCGAGAAATTGATGGCAGGGCTGGTGGTTCTCGCTGCAGCATCTTTGAAATCTCGCATCTACTGTACTTCCAGCCGCCATACTCGACCGAGGGGCTCCAGTCCAGTTCTGATCATGGGAGCGGGATTGGTGGTCCGAAGACTCTTCACGCCTCAACAGGATGGGGGTGGGTAGGGAAAGGAACCAGCACTGGTGACTGGCCGAGGAGCGAGGAACGGAGTGTACACCCACTTATTCGTTTGATGCACCCGCGATTGTGTCACAAGCTCGGTACGTTCACATAGAAGGTTGGGAGCGATGCGTTTATGTCACATAGAATCGATTCACACGCGTGATCAGTTCAGCATTGAATTGCTAAGCGTTTTTTTTTTTTTAAGGATGCATTACACTTATATAAGCGGTTACATCCACAGTCGTAACTGGAAGGGGGAAGGGACCGGGAGGACAAAAAAAGTCAACACTGCCCTTCCACTAGCGCTTTAAGGTGGTTGGAAGGCTGTTCTCGGGTTGGACCACACCGATCTAAAGCCATCCTTCCACGTCAGCGTGTCTTCATCTTGGAAAATCCGGCTCAGCATTACAGCCTCGTCCCGCTCCAAAGAGGCCCAGCTCTGCCCGCCTCCTTGCTTGCTGATGTTTGCCACGTGTTGTTTGTGGGCACTGTATATCCTGACGTGCTTCATGAAGTTCACACCAATCCTCCGAAGCACCCTCAAAGGCTGAAACGTATCTTGTCGGAAAGCTGCCTCGCATCTCTCCAGCCACACCTGGTGAAATGCCACTGCTATCAGCGGTTTTTCTGGAAAGCCCGATTTCGTGCCATCTTCCGCGAACAGGAAGTCTTCCAACCTCCCCACCTCCCGGTTTGGATTCATCTGCTTCAGCGCCCCCTTCAGCGCGCCGATGACAGGCTGTATCACTTCACATTCAAGTAGACAATGCGCTAGGGTTTCGTCCTTCTTGCAGTGCGGGCAGCTGATGTGCTCTTTCATGAAGTGCAGTCTGTCCCCCACCTGGAGGTTTTTGCAGTGTAGCCTCAAGATGATTTCCCTCGCTCTGCCCGGCGTGACCAAAGTGTCCCGTTTTCGGATGGCACCTTTCCAGTCAATTGATCTCCCATACTCCTCCTCCCACTTCTTCTGCTGCTTCGGCTGCTCAACTGGTCCCTTCAGTTCTGCTCGCAGCTGCCTTAGTGATGCGCTTTGCCCTTTCGCACAGAGCACCGATAGCCTCAGACGTGAAAGCGGGAGGCCCGCTTCTCCCACCAGTCTGCCCTCAACAATCAGCGGGGTCAGTCTTTATAGTTCGAGTCGGATCGGGCTGGATCTGTTCGTTAGCAGCACCTCTCCGTTCTTCCCCACCTCCGCAGGCGTTCCGAGGATTCCGCGGCCATCTGTTGACAGCAACTGCCAATACATAGTCCTCCCTGCCAGAATTGCTAAACGTTGAAGAAAATTGGTGGCAGAGCACTACAGTTGCACGCATTCGCGCTAAAGACGAGGCCACATTTATTAGTTATGATTAGGTCAGGCCGGCCTACAGTTGCAAAAACGTATTTATAGCCACATTTTGGGAGCAAGCGACGGCAATACGCAGGGAAATGTGACTCGCAGACGTTAAAAGCACCGGGCAAAAACGACAAGTACCTCCGACCGAAACGCGCTCGGTGAGATAAACGAATAATTGGGTGTAACGCACACCACTGATAATCTCCTTGTTTTAAGGCCAAATGCATGGCCGCTAGCTGTTGTGCGTGCACCACTGACTTTGCCATGTGCAATGAAACGACGGGCCCATGGTTACATCTCGTGGTTTCCAGTGGGTTGGTTTTCTTCCAATCCCGTGGCTAATCTCAGATCCACGGGCGGCTCGCGCCAGCCTCTTGCTTGTTGCCGATCACGGACTAGAACAGCAGGACAGTGTATCCAGACGGAATCGCAACAACTGTTCGTCGGATGGGCAGGGAAGCGATCCAATCCGGTTTGATCTCACTGTGAGACATTGGTCTACAAATGTTCTCGTTTATAGTTCGGCGGATTAACATCGCCGCGCGCGGACTGAGAAGATTTGAACAAGGATGAATGAACTATGAATGAAGTGAGTACATATAGGAAACCATAATTGGGTTGTACCCCCTATGGGATACCCCACTATAGCCTACACAACTGCATAAGCTATATATATGTTCTGACACACCCCCATAGGCAAAGTGGGGGAGAACAAGGGGTCACAAGACCAGTCACGCAAAGCACAGCAAGCTCAGGGTGGATCACAAAGTCACCACACAGTCCGAGCACAACGACAAGGCCACAAGGCCAGTTCACATGCAGGAGTGCACATATATATATAGAGCTAGACAAGCAAGAGCAGGTATATATATGTGACAGTACAAGCAAGGTCAAGAGGAGAGCAAGTGAGGCAAGACAGGTACAAGACCCAGCTGAGTGCAGAAGCGCTGATGGTCACAAGGCGCAAGTGCCTTGGTGAACACATCAGCAGTGTTGGCCTCAGAGGCCACGTACGCAAGTCGCAACTGACCACGCTGCTGCAGCTCACGAGCAAGAAAGTAACGAAGAGCAATGTGCTTCGTTCTGTGCTCCAAGCGCTGCTCTCGACACAAGGCCAGCATGGCCTTGTTATCTACGTACAGCACTGGAGGAGAACGAGGCGGCTCTCCAAGGTCAGTCAGCAGGTAGGTGAGCCAGCGAAGCTCCTGTGCAGCCATGGCCCCGGCGTAGATCTCAGCCTCACAACTGGAGCCGAGAACAGAGGACGAGCGAGTAGCCCGCCACGAGACAGAGCCGGAACCAAGACTGAAGGTGTAACCCTGCGACGACCGCTGCGTAGCCTGGTCGTCAGCCCAAGAAGCGTCCGCGTGCCCAGTGAGGACCACTGGACTCCGCCCTCCAAGCACTAGCCCCATGCCCGACGTACTGCACAAGTAGCGCAACACCCTCTTCGCGACAGCCATGTGCTCTGGTCGGTGTCTCCCAGGAGCAACATAGCGTGCAAGAATGCTAAGAGGGTATGCAAGGTCAGGTCGTGTGCAGGTCATCAGGTACATGAGGCAGCCAACAAGCTCTGGGTACGGGCCACTCGACTCTACGGACTCATCCGAAGGCAGAGCTGAGAGCGAGTGGCGAGTAGACAGAGGAGTGGCCTGAGGCGAGGAGTACGTGAAGCCGAAGCGCTGAAGGACCTGCTGCACCATGTGTGACTGAGTCAAGGTAATGGTGCGGCGTGCTCTGTCCCGAGTGATCTGCAAGCCAAGGTAGCTGCGCAGTTCACCCAGGTCTGTGCACGTGTGTCTCTTCTGTAGCTCGGACTTCACGTAGGCTAGTCCAGCAGTGTCAGCTGTGGCAAAGACCAAGTCGTCGACGTACACGAGGATGTAGAACGGCGGCAAAGAAGTGTCGGTGCGCAGAAACAACGACGGGTCAGCCGTAGAGGAAGCAAACCCAAGAGCCGCAAGCGTAGTCCTCAGTGTGTCGTGCCACTCACGCGGTGCCTGGCGGAGACCGTAGACTGGCCGTCGGAGGCTCCACTGGGTGCCAGTAGGGAAAGTCCCAGTGAAGCCAGGTGGACGGCGCAGCCAGATCTCCTCGTGCAGGCTACCCTGCAAGAAAGCAGTGCTGAAGTCAAGAGAGTGGAGCTCGTAGTCGCGCTGAGCGGCTATGTGCAGCAGCACCCGAAGAGTGGTCATCTTCGGGGTGGGAGAGAAAGTCTGAAAGTAGTCAACTCCCTGCCGCTGACTGAAGCCACGAGCGACGTACCGCGCCTTGAAGACAGGTGGAGAGCCCGGCGGCCGCTTCACCCTGAAGATCCACATGCCACTGACGATGTTCGCCCCAGGAGGGGGAACCGCGTCAACGTAGGTGCCTGTGGACTTCCAAGA